AAACGAACCCCGTAGACGCTCCTAGTAGATAACCCGACTATATAGTAGACGAGCTACCGGACGCTACGAGTCGTAATATCTTTATATAGAGACTTAAGAAGACTATCGGTAAAGACGCTAGTTACTAAAGGGATCTATAGGATACGATATACCTAGGCGCTATAATAACTATAGTACGCGTAGAGATCTCTACTAAGCCCGCGACGAATAGACTACCGAGTCGAAAGGAGGTACGCGAAGTAGCTAAAGGAGAAACCGTATATACCTACGAGCCGCTAGAAACTATAGTAGAACTTATACTTAAGATATAGGCGAAGAATAAGTTCTATAGGAATACGCTTAGAAGGGTACGGGAAACCGGCGACTTTAAATAACCCCCGAAGACACGATAGAGTGTAAGGAGCTAGGATAGACTACTAAGATATAATAACTATATCTATATTCCCGAAGGCGAACCTATAATCTATTAGGAAATTATAAGGATCTATTACGACGATCTATAGGTAGGCTATTATATAAGGAAGAGAACGCTATAGGCTATTAGACGTAAATACTAGTAGAAAACCCTTATTAAGGATATATAGGACTATATCCTTATATACTAGATTTACTAGTCTAATACTATTAAACGCTATAAGCTATATAGACTACTTAAACCACTACTAGTACTAGAGAGACTAGGCTAGTAGATAAGCGTAGACTTTATTATAGGCCTACTACCCTTAAAATAGGAGGGGGAAGGCCTACGACGTAATTATAGTTATAGTCGATCTATTTTTAAAATATTCCCTCTATATTTCCTACACTAAGGACGTAGACTCGCTAGAACTCGTAACCTTATTTTACGAAAAGGTTATACCCCTATAGGGAATACTAGAAAACCTCGTTAGTAATAGAGGTACCGTCTTTATATTAAAATTCTAGAGTTATTTCTACTACCTCCTCGCTATAAGACGTAGACTATTAATAGCCTATTACCTATAAACCGACGGGTAGACGGAGAGATAAAACTAGAGTATTAAGTATTACCTACGTAATATAGTAAGCTAGTACTAGGACGACTAGATAAGATAGATCCCCCTTATATAGATCGTCTATAATACTACTACCTATAGCGCACTAAAAATATCCCCGGCCGAAGTATTACTAGGATTCCGACCGGAACTAAGAACGTTAGTACTAGATAGGAAGATAGAAACCTACGATAACGCTAAAAGCCGCGTAGAGGAAATACTAAAGATACGAGAAATACTAAGGAAGCGCCTAGAAGAGTCAAAAACTATAATAAAGCGAGCCTACGATAGGAAATATACGGAGAAGTCTTTTATAATCGGATAATAGGTTATACTAAGAAATAAGTATATTAACTTAGGACGACCGTATAAAAAGCTAGATAACCGCTATATAGGACCCTTTACGATAGTAGGTACGGTAGGATAATAGGTATACTAGCTAATCCTTACACTAAGATACCGTAAGATCTACCCTATATAACACACTTTAATACTAGAGCTATACTACGGAGATCCGCTAAAAGCTTAAGAGCGGCCCGATCCTATACTAGTAGATAACTAACCTAAATAGGAGATCGAGGAGATCCTTACCGATAACCGTAAAGGCGCCGAATACCTTATTAAATAGAGAGGATACGGGTACGAGAAAAATACTTAGGAGCTAAGAGAAAACGTAGAAGATATACTAGTATTCGAGAGCTACTATAATAAGAAGAAAGAACGGCTAGAGCGTATAATACGCCGAGGAAGATCCGTAAAGAAGAAGTTAATATAACCTAGGATCTACTACTAGATATGTTCCGGGAAGGTTAGAAGGACCGGAGTGGGCTTAAGAACGCCGAACCCGATAGCTAACTACCGAACGGACCCCTAGAAAATAACTAGCTACGTAAGTATACGCTATAGATAGGTTAAGGGAGGATCTAGAACACTAGTAAAGATAAGGAGCGGACGAAAAATATCCTAAAGAGACTATAGACGTATAATAAGGATATATAGGAGTTTATCGCCGAAAAATAGGATAAAAAGTAATATAGCTAACACTCTCTAAGGGTATAACGTAATAACTACCTATATTAGACGAGTAACCTCCGAGATACGCCTATATCCTTACCGCTATATACGTAACCTAGCCTAAGGAGGCGCCCGAAGCTAACCTATAACCCGACTTATTAATAAAACCTACGCCGAAGGGGGCGGAGGGGGTAGGGGAGGTAGAGGGGGCGTAGCGCGAGGAGGACCGAAAGGCGTAACTATACCCGTATAGATATCTCGAGTTAAAGTGTTCCGCGTACCTCGAAACCCCTATATAATCGTAAGAAACGATATATTCTACGCGGGGGTAGTACGGGGCGCTAAGATATAAGTATTAGCTTAAGCGTCGAGCCTAGAATCGACCTAAGGAACGTTAATAACCGCTAATACGAGCGGAGGCCTATACTTACTATTATATAAGACTACCGCTTCCTCGTATAATAGTTATACCGGGGAGTATTAACGTTAATCCCGCTAGGCGGAGGGATATATATATACCCTAGGTTATATCTAAGACGGTCTATATAACGCCGATACTACGTACTTATAGGGTTAATAGGGGAGACGACGGCCGGAGGGGCGTAATTATTAATAGAGGTGTACGTCGCACTCGCGACCGGAGGAAAGGGAGCTACTATAATAAGTCGAAATGACCTATAGTAAGAAAAGCGAGACGACGAAAAGCTATAAGAAGAAAAGTAAAGCGACGAAAAGCTACGAGAAGAAAAAGCGAAAGGACGAGGAAGTGTAGAAAGAAGAAAGCTATAACTCGAAGAGAGATAAGTGAAAAATATATAAAGAACTTAGATTATGCGCGACGAAGAGAGATAACGCTTAAAGCTCCGAGTCTATCTACACCTTCCACTATAAAGACAAATTACCCTCTTTTAGATAGCTAGATATATATGCTATTTTCGAACCCTCCCTATCTCGACTGTAAGAGACCCTCGACCCCGACCCTTAGCTGCGAGGACGTAGCTCTTTAAGGAGGGGGGAAAATGTTACGACCCTCTACTAGGAGAGTGCCTTATAGGCTGGATCCCGCCTGGTCTAGTGACCTAGAACCCGTGACCTAGTAGGGGTAGCATGACCCCCCGCCAGAGACCGCACTAGGGAGACTGAGTCCTGCCGGGTCAGGTGACCTAGTCCCGTGACCCGCCAAAGGTCATCTATATAGAGACTGCTAGGGGAACTTAGCTCTTTAGCGATTAGTTTATGAATATACTAGCACCCTGCTATTCCTTCACTCTAGTTCTATATTACCTGCCAGGACCCGCCAGCACGCCGGTCCTAACATTATAGGGAGATTAGGGGACTTAGCTATAGTAGCACGAGCTAGTATTAGTATACTAGCTCCTATATAAATAGTAGTATAGATCTCCCTTAACTAGTAGAGGACCCTATAATATAAAGCTTCCTTCTCGCTAGTAAGGAAGCTATATACGATATAAAAGGTCCTCCTAACTAAAGAAGCCCCTATAATATTAAGAAGGGGCATCTTCTATTTATTAGTTTTATACGTATAGTCTATCTATAGGATATATAGATTAGTACGTAGGAGCTAGAGACTAGTTTTATAGACTATAAAGAGGGTAGTAAGGGAGTTATTAACGGTATTAACCTTATATCGAATGATCTAGCTACTATCTTTAGGGAGATCTATAAGAAGTGCCTATATTAGGGTGCGTCTAGCTAACCGTTAAAGCTTTATCTTAGCCCGCCGATTAGTAATATTACGGGGCTATAAGTAAGACTATCGCCCTTATAACTCTACCTTCTCCTATATTATACCTATAATCTAACGAGTCGATATCTAGTTAGCTATCTAACTCTCGATAGTAGATAGTATATACTTAGTTTTAACTCGGCGAGTAATAACGGAAGTAGAGGACGTAACTAAACTATAATTATAGCTAGTATTAGCGATCTCTAGCTACTATATATTACTCGCGATAAGCCGAAGTCTCCTAATAAATGTATAGCCTATTAAGCGGCTCTAGCGTAGACGTTTCCGTATTACTAGGGCTCGATTAGTGCGATAACTACGACTAAGGCTATACTCGAACTATATTACGCGAGGCTTACTATATATTATTACGACTAAGAAGCCTAGTAGAAGAGCCTACTAGTTAAGGGTTTTGAGTGCCTACCTTCGGGACTCCTTAATAGATAGTGTGGCGGTTTCGACGATTTAAAAGGGGGGCGTAGTATTAGGGAGACTAGGTATAGGGGGCTCTATATTAAGGGTAAACTATATACTATACCTAAAGTTAGTACGGAGTAGGTATAATTAAATAGTAGGATAAGTATTATACCTTACGTAGTAGGCGTATATACACTAGGAGCTAAATAGTCGTTTGGCACTACTTTTGAAAATTAGTATCTATTTTGAGGTTATATGACCCCCCTTTTCGAAAACTCTATACCCTCATTTCTACGGAAATCAGTAATTTTTGGCTTCATTTATGACCTAGATTAGTATTAGCTGTTTCAATTGGATTGAAAATATCATATCTATATGATCTCTATCTAGTACCCTATAGTTTGGAATAGCTTTATGAACCTAAACGACTGCGGAATAGCTTCATGAAATTAAGCGAATGTGGGAATATGATATTTCTGGGGGATAAGGGCAGTAATTTAATCATGTGATGATAATAGGTAATACTGGGGGGGAACCAGATCAGTAATACGGGGGGTGGTAAGGGCAGTGGCCAGCTAGAAGGAAATCATAAAGGGTTTAGCGGGAGGGGTGCCCGTAGTAAAAAGGGGTGCCCATAGTAACTCTCATCTTGGAAAGGCTCTAGAGCGGACTCCGCTTCCGCGCCATCTCTTCCCTTTGTCCACGAATATATCGGGATTCCCATGAAGCGGCTACAATCTAGTGATAAGATCCAAAGCCCATAGAACAACCTCTGAACTGCTCGTGGAACTGCCAAGACGCCATTCGGTATGGCGGACCACGGGGTCGGCACCCGGCATCCCAAAGCATGCATTACCTGTGCCAAGGCTAAAGTACGATGTTTACCGGAAGTTAACGGGCCTTGCAAACGGTAAGTATATAATTCAGCTGAATATATCAAGGAGCCCTATGGATTCATATTGATGTCTATTAGTTGTCGCCGGCTGGGTAAAGAATGCGGAAATCAATTACCCGGGGCCCATCGACGTGAAAAAAGACTAGAGCCGAGGGACTCGTAAGTTGATATAATGTATGAAAATGCATAGCGAAACTACTGACATTTTGATCAGAGATGTTGCAGCCCTTGAGGCCAAATTAGACCGCATGGTCGCCATGTTAGCCGCCTCAGAACGAAATGCCAGAGAGCGGTTAGAAACTGGGCCAGCAACCACAAGATCTTCGCCTACATTCGAAGAAATTATCGCTGCTCCTGGGGAGATTGAAGGCCAACTGTTTATGGAGGTATTTTTCGAAAAATTGTTTCCTCTCTTTCCATTCGTGACGTTCCCATCGCACGTCACTGCGGAAGAGCTGCGTCGAGAGAAACCATTCCTTTATCTGAATATTTCAATGGTTGCGTGCCAGAACGCCAGGCGGCAGCGAGAAATAGTGGACGCAGTACAGGGCTATGTGGCTGAACACATTGTTATAAGAGGAGAATATAGCCTGGACCTGCTCCAGGGGCTTCTCGTTAATGTGGCCTGGTTCACTTCAGTGAGTCGCTTTCCGCGACCTGCGGAACATGAAAATCTCACCACCAAGCCCAACCCGGAAGTTGAACCTATGTGTGTTACTCGCACCACTGCCCAGCTGGATGTCTTTGTGCATTTGCTCGTAGCTCAGTCATTGAGCTTAGGGTTGAATCAGGGGGTGGCCTATCAGAAAAACTTGAACTACCCGTTGACTTATCTAAAAGAGATAGCAAACGAAGAGTCTCATAATCCAGTGCGCACACTCGAAGAGCGGCGAACATATCTTGGATGTTATTACTTGACTTCGATGTATGTGCACGATCTGACCATCCAATCTGCTGGACACAAGCTAATATTTCGGAAGGATATCAACATGTGTGAAAGACTTGGGACCGATTATACGCTTCACAAGATATACGGACGAATGCTGCAATATGCTAGACCAGGTCGCAGAGTATCCCACCGACACCTTCCTGGTACAGCTCGTCCGAGCGATGAACCTCGCGGATAGAGTTCATCACACGCTATACCACACCGAGTTCCATTCTTCATCAGTTCCATCAGCGGCTCTTGGTCTTAGCATACGATGGCTAGAGGCTGAGCTCAAGCAACTCAAAGATCGCATGCGGGGCGAATCACCACACTCTAGTGAGTTCTGAGTATATAGACGTGCGACAATTCACCATGTTCTAACAGCCATTACAGCCATCCTTCAGCTGCATTACAACACAGTGGAGATACATCTGTATCGAGTTGCCCTCAGCAAACAAACCTCCCAGGCGCATTATGGCGACCATCCTCTCATGAGATTGGACCTCCTATTCCGTTGCCTTGAAACAACAACCTCCTTCTTCCGGCACATCTTCGCTCTCCCCTCAGGCCTTTTACCCTACTTCCCCTTCACGATTATAAGTCAATTAGGCAAAGCAACTGTCACCCTCTCCCAGCTTTCTCTCTACGATCATCCTGGATGGGACCGAGCATACGTGGAGAACGCAATGAACTTCGACCAGACCATCGACCAAATATTTGCCAAGCTTGAAGAGCAACGCGCATCTTTCCAACAAAAGCTGGGGAAAGACTCCGAACCGACCGAGCTGCCTGAAATATTCGGAAGAATGAGTTATCGTGTCAGAACCATTAAACAAATCCATCGACAGAGAAAAGAAGTACTGGACCAAACTCCGCCGACCAGTGTGTCCCAGATGGACTACGAGCTTATGATGAATATGCCTCTGGATTTATTGTTTCCCTTTGGTGAACTCCCGCCTATATATGGGCAATCATAGAAGGCCCCATCGGATCGAACGGAGTCCGTTCCCCGACTTTCCGCGATTTTGGTCAGGGGCTCACTTTGTAATTATAACTCGTCAGCGTTGGATTGTATGACCTAGTACGGAGTATACTATTCCACTTTGAATTGAAAGCGCACTACGGAGTAGTCCCCTATTATTCTAAACACGGGGTATTGTGCCACAGCCTTGCGTTGCCATCTGAAGCTCGATCACACCCCATCCCAAGTCATGTCTTAGATTGAATTGCACCCAAACAGCAAGTTTCATGAATTAATTCCACATCTGAGGATCCTGTGCCCACTGCCGACCGAGTTCACGAGTTCAAATTAACGTGGAGAAAGCCCCAGTCACACTGGGTCTCGCCAAGCAGGCGGCTCAAGCAGATCGGCAATGCGGCTCATCTCTTTTTTTCTTCCCTTTTTCCCTTTCTTTCGAACAAGCGAGCTACACAAAGAAATAAAGAAAGATGATACATTACAACGTCTTCCCGTATTTCCGAAAATGGTGTGGTATGTGTCTTAAACGATCCATAACAAATACGAATCAATTCCTTTTGTAGCACTGTTTAATATAGATCTAAATCCGATTCTTGGCACTAAACATCGTAGAAATCTAAAATGCATTTAGCGTCCACATACTCCGCATGGGAACTACAGAGCCACAGCTCCGACCATGGCAGCCATAATGGCCAAGACTCCAGCACCGTTGGCGACACGGGTATTGGCGGCATTGAAGGTAGGGCTGCTAGACGGCGCGGCGGAAGTCGCGTTACCAGCAGCTGAGCTTGCGGAAGTAGTGAGAGACACAGACGCAGAGGATCCGGTGGTGGACTTCGGGATGCTGGTGTTTTCCGCGTCGGAGGGGGAAGCAGAGGCAGAAGCAGAAGCAGAGGCAGAGGCAGAGGCAGAGGCGGAATCGGACGCAGAAGCAGAAGTCGATTCCGACACGGAGGCCTCAGTGGTTTGCACAGCGGGAGCGGTGATTACCTGGGAAGCGGCGGAAGAAGCGGAAGAAGCGGTCGACTGGATGGTAGTCGTAGAGGCGGCTTGCTTGCCATTTGGTCCCCAGCCTTCGATGTAGTCGGCAGTGACGGTGGCCGTGCCGGTGTACAGAGGACAGCCCGGTACGGTGGACTTGGCGGGTGCGCGACCACCACCACAGTCGAGGAACGAGCAGATTTCACCGCTGTCCGGGACGTACCAGAGGTAGCTGGCACCGTAGTTGATTACGACCATTGAGGAGACACAGCCTTCCAGGTCAGTGCGGGCTGTGGCGAGGCTGGCAAGCCCGAAGAGCAAAGAAAGAGCGGCGGTCTTCATGTTGAAGATTGAATGAATGACTGGGCAATGAACGAGTGATAGCCGTGAAAGTGAGAGAAGAAAACCGTCAAACAGAAAAAGAGCCAGGGAAAGCCATGTCTTAAGTAGGTGGGAATTAGTCTGGCCTTCGAAGGCGCCACCGGAGTCTCGGCCTCTCACAGCGAGTCCTCTTTTTTTAGCCTTTCGCTTGAGGCCTCTAGGAGATTAGTCTGTCCTGGTTGCCTGGGATTATCGTATTTCATGGAAATTACACAACTATACGAAGTAGAAATTGAAAGATCAAATTGTGTGAGATTTTTTCTAAAAAAAAAAGAAAATTCGAGGAAACCCGTGGGCCCAGGGACATACCCGGGCCCCCGACTGGGCGCCAAACAACGGTACTCAAGCCCAGGACTAAGCTGGCCCACTGCGTAAGGCCGGGCCAACAATGTCCAAGGGCAGCGAGATACAAAAAAAAAGAGAAAAGCAAAGCAAACCGAACCATAACGCAAATGCAAACCCATGCAATGCGCTTAGACATAAACATACAATCCCTTTAGGGTAGAAAAATAGCGAAAACAGGAAGAGATCGTTCTCCATGACCATATCAAAACAAATTTAGTTCTTGATCTTTTGGATCAGATCGTGGAATTCTTGAAGTCTCTCACGCTTCACGCGAAGCGCCCAATGCCGGAGCTTGCCATCCTCCTCGGGCACCATGAATTGGACACTGTTGGTAGTGAGAGAGTAGTCAAACTCCTTTTTCAAGAGAGTGTTCAAGATAACGTTTCCACTGGGGTCAGCACGGGCCACAATCCGCGCGCGCTTGGTGACAGGGTGTTGCAGAAGCCGGACGGGACCGGTTCCCTTAGAAGCCCACTGTCCATCAAGCTTGAAAGCTCGGGACTTGTCCTCGAACAAAACGGTTTCTTCTTCTTCGCCGCCGTTGCCGCGAGTCAAATCAAAGATTTCGCCCGGCTCACCTTCCTCATCATCGTTGGCGACTTTGGGCTCAGCAGCAGGTGCCGAGGGGGTGGCTGACACAGGCTGGGAGAAAGGACTGGCTTGGGCCGCTGGTGTGAAGGGAGTGGTCGAAGCAGCTGGGAAAGATGGGGTTGGAGCAACTGGGGTGGTTGCAGTTGAGACCCGTCCAAAGATACTGGCACCCGAAGGAGGAGGAGACGTTGACTTGACCCTTTTCGCGGGAGCATCGTCCTCGTCATCACTGTCATCCGCCGAGGCCTTACGTTTCGGCGAAGTTGGCTTGAGCCCACCGAAGATGTTCTGCGAGGCTGGAACCGGTTGACTGGAAGCAAACACCGAGGAGTTTGTAGAGCTAGCAAGACCCGTACCAAAGATTGAAGTCGAGGATGCAGGCTTGGCCCCACCGAAAGCGGCAGATGCAGGCGATGGCTGATTTGTACCGAGGATCGATGAGGATTCGGACGCGTCAGGGGTCGATGGAATACGCGACACAGAGGAAGTGCTTGCTCCCAAAGCAGAGGAAGATAACGGAGCAGCGAGGGAAGCAAAAGGAGCAGGGGTGCTAGTGGTGACAGGAGTAGCAGTGGTAGCAGGAGTAGTAGGCCCCGCAACGCTCTGTGGAGTAGTGTCATCGACAAATTTGAATCCCTCGCCGGGGACAAAAATAGGGCGCTTCTTTGCTGCTGCTTCGTGTTGAGCCTTCTTCTCGCGTTGACGTTCCGCATCCTTGCGTTCCCACTCCTCCTCGTCGTCAGAGTCGGAGTCAAACTCCTCAGCCTTTCTCTTAGCCTTTTCTTCAGCGGCAGTCTTGTCCGCCTGTGCCTTGAACTGGGCCATGAAATCAGTGCCAGTAGCGCCAGCACCAAATTTAGGAATTTGGAAGTTAGGGGCAGCGGTAGAAGCGGCACCAGCACCAAACTTGGGAATTGCGGTCGAGGTGGCTCCACCGTCAAACTTGGGAATCGCAGCAGCAGGAGTGGCGGCCGAAGTAGCGACTGGGGCAGCAGCAGAGACGGGACCAGTAGCAGCAGGTATTTTAGCAGCAACAGGAGCGCTGAAAGCGTCAGCAGCAGTAGTCGCCGGAGCAGGGGACGGAGCAGAGAAGGATTGGGCGAACTTGGAGGAAGTCGAAGATCCGCTTTCAGGCTTGTCGGCAGGTGCAGTGCGTTTGCCGTGCAAATTAGGAGGAGTGAAAGTGGGAGGGGTCGCGATCGGAGCAGGCACTTCGCCGTTTGGCGCTTCCTGGGCGGCTTCACGATGATTCAGCTCGGCCCGTTCAGCCTCCTCGATAGGGTCGATCGATCCGATGGGGATGCCCATGTCACGGCGAAGTTCAACGTAAAGCAAAATGACGTCGTCGATATCATCAGTCATGGGGTCGCATTTGGCGACCTCGCGCTTGAAAGACTCGGTCAACATGCGAAGTTTCCAGAGAAGAGTGGCCTCATTGAGATGCCGACGATCGACCTCGGCATCTTCAGGGAAAAGACGTTTGAGAGGCATGTCGGGATATTCAATTGATACAGGATGATCAGGTTTAGGGAAAAGACTGTCAGTGTCTGGAGCAATGAAAGTGCTGGATGCAAGCAAAGTGCTGGAAGTGGTAGAAATATTGGAAACAGTAGAAGTTGAGGAGGAAGAAGGGAGAGGAGAAGAAGAGGTAGAAGGGAATTGTAAACAACTCTTCTGAGACGCGTCGGACGACAATTGAGAGGAAGGTGCCTGGATGGTCGTCGCTGTCGCAGCTTCCTTCGGTGGTTCATTGGTTGCCTTAGGGGTAGCCGCGAATGGGTTGGCCAATGCGGTACCCAAAGCTGCCTGGTTATTGTTCTTATTGTCCTCAACTCCCACACTGGCACCGAACAATGGCTTGCCTGGTGATTGGGGCTTTTCAGCTTGCTCTGCGGGCTTCAGTGCGAACGGGTTGTTGAATGCGTTCTGCCCTGACAGATTCGCGAAGGGATTACTAGGCGTAGCTTGGGCTGTCTGTCCTTCTCCAAGCTTCGAGGTTGCAGGAGACGCTCCAAAGATAGAACCGAACTGCACATTCTTTGCAGGCAGAGGTGTCTGTTCTTCACTTGTCGCCTTCGGTGCGAATACACCACTCGCTGCTGATTGCTCCTTCTCTGCCACCGCAGGCTTCGAGCTTGCAGGTGTTCCGAACATGGGCTTGGGAAGCTGATTACCGAGAGGCTTCGCAGCCGCGCTATCGACAGCTGGCGTGGGTGTTGCGAACATATTACCAAATGCGGGCGTAGCGGGCGACTCTGTCACAGCCTCCAAGGTCTTGGATGCCGCAGGTGTGCCAAACATGGACTTGAACGGCTGGTCTCCTGTTGGCTTTGCAGGCGCAATCTCAGCGGCCGGCTTTGGTGTTGCGAACATATTACCAAATGCTGGCGTAGCGGTCTCCTTAGTTTCTGAGGTCTTTGATGCTGCAGGTGTACCAAACATGGACTTGAACGGCTGGTCCTCTGTAGCCTTTGCGGTTGCATTCTCAGAGGTCGGCTTAGGTGTTGCAAACATGTTACCAAATGCCGGTGTAGCGCTCTGTTCCTTTCCGAACTCTGAAACTTTCGATGGTGCAGGTGTACCAAACATTGTCTTGAACGGTTGTGCCTCGGCAGTCTTTCCAGAACTCTCCTCGGTCCCGGTGACTTTTGGCGAAGACAAGCCGCTGAATGAACTCGGTGCTGACAGGTTCGCAAACGGATTGCTCGCCTTTGGTTCTTCCGCCGCTGGCTTGGGCGCGAACAAGTTGCTAACAGACTCTGGGGGCTGAGAGCTGGACTTCGACCCGAAAAGAGCACCGAAAGGCTGCGCGGCCTCTACGGGCTTCGCAGAGATCGGATCTGCTGACGGTGCCCTAGGGGCAAAAAGGTTGTTGCTGGTGGTTGTATTCTGTCCCGAGGAGAATGCGAATGGATTGCTGGCGGCTGGCTGCTCTTTCTCTCCACCAAAAGGCTTCGAGGCGGCGGGAGTTGCGCCGAAGAGAGGCTTGAAAGGCTGGGGCTCCGCGGGCTTGGCGGCGGTTTGGTCTGTGCCAGCCGCCTTGGGTGGCGCGAATGGATTGCTGGCATTCTGCCCTGAAAGATTCGAGAATGGATTTCCGAGAGCCAGCCCACCCGGGGCTGGCTGCTGTGCAAATACAGAACCTCCGTTGGGCTTGGTATCTGGCGAAACTGACATGATTTCATCGGCAGGAGAAATATTTGTTGTAGTCTTTCCAAACAGGCCGCCGCTGGCCGAGGTGGTGGCCGAGGTGGTGGCCGGAGTGCTCGCATTTTGCTGGGCTCCAAACCCACCAAAGGAGGGAGTAGCTTGGCTACCGGCATTGAAACCCCCGAAACTGAATCCATTGGTTGATTGTGAGCTTCCGCCAAATGATGTGTCTACGGAAAAGGGATTGCTCGAAGGCGCAGATCCGAACGAGGTAGAGGTCGCACCGAAGCTGAATGGCGCGGGCTCAGCCGCTTGGCCGTTAGTGCCTGATGAGAACATACCCCCTTGAGTGGGTGTTGAGCTTGCACCAGGGAAACTCTGGCTCTGATTTTGACCAAAGACGAACCCGCTCGATTGAATTGGTGCTGGTGCTGGTGCCGCGGCCGGGGTCGCGGATGAGAAGGGGTTGAATGGAGCCGCATCAGATGCGCCACCACTGGGTGTTGGGGCTCGGCGTCTACGGACATCTTTGATCCTAAGGGTCGAAAAGAGATCTCCGATCAGCTTATGCTCATCCATTGGTGACCCGGATATGACTTACTTTCTGTTGGCTAACTGGGCCGCTGTCGCCCGCTGCGGCTTTTCATCGGGAGTACTAGCCATTCCGAAATTTCCTTCGTCTTCTTTAGAACCGTGAGGGCCTAGGGCGCCACGCTTTAACATATTCAGCGTGGGGCAACCACTGGTGGCTGTATGCTGCAAGCTCGAACTGCTCAATATTGTTTGGATCCTACGTGACCCGGTTCAGCTTCCGCCGATCAAGCTTGAGTCAAAACCGACGCTCGATATGATGCCTAGATGAGTTTCCTCAGTCACGGCAATCGAGGTGGGAAGCTTCGGGGTGCGACGAGGGCCTTTCCGACTCCGGACTCGAGAGGAGCGGGCTTGATAACAATTACTTTCCACTTGAGAACTGACGATCGTGGAGAGAACAAACGCCAATTTGTCTCTAATGTCTTTGAGATGGGGTGGTCTTCGCGATTCGGCAACAAGTTCGCGATCCGGCGCGCAGGAAGCTGACAGCACGACTGAAAGAGCTATCGAGCTGGGAGAGGGGAGTTCGAAGACCGATCAAGGGATGGTTCCTGTCCCTGATGATATTTGTCTTCGAAGATTCGATATGCCTCGCGAGATAAGGGAAGTCACGACTGTTATTTTTTTATTTTTTTTGCAGAGCATCCAAGGCGGAAAAATGCAGTCACGTGGGTGGTCTTGGCAAGGTCGATGCTCGGGGCTTTTCTATTGTTTGCCAGCGAGAAAGGGGTTGATATGGCGATATCGTTTGATGTGCCATCTTACGATTTATGTCGCAATTCACTCATATGGTACATAGGTAGCAAATAAAGAGCCGTCTATTTCTATTTCTGTGAATGGAAACCCCACTCGTTCATTGTAGCGACTGTGCACGCAGAAAGAGAGATTCGCCACAGACTATGAAGAACATCCTGAATAAAGGATGTTAATAATAGATATTCGGCGTGAATGAGAGAGAGAGAGAGACAAGCATCCATGGATATAGCAGAATTTGGCGGTCGAGCATTCAAGTCGGCCGAGGGCTCAAACCACTTTCAAAGTAACTCGGAAGTATTCCCCATACATGGACTCCGTACATGTACGTACCGACATACGGCCACTTTGATTCATACATGTACATGTATGTATTGGCTCAAGAAAAACGCACATGCTCCAAGAAACTCACATCATACCTAATCTAGGTATCAAGCACAATAATGGGAAGCTACAAACTTGGGCTGACTCGAGACTTGACCCTTCCAGGGGTCTTCTACCAAGAGTTCAGAGTGTGACGGCGTCCGGGTGAAAGCGAACAAAATCCGTGAAGTGTGACCTTTCCCCGGTCAAGATGTCCAAAGTACTTCAATGTCATCGGCTTCCATCTCCTTATACACGCGATGTGGCGTTCCCTTGGATCTTCTGACCTTATCCCCGTTTAAGTTGATCAGAAGGATAGTCCAGGCCGTCCAGACCCCAAATATATTGGATGCGCATAAACTTTGGAGACGTTCCTCACAGCCTTGGGTCACATACCCCAATGGTGGCTGCAATGGGTTCTGCAACCCGTCACATTCCAGTCCTATTGGAAAGCGCCCCCCGGCAAACTAGCTTTTTAGGTTGCTTTTCTACATGATGTGTTGTGCTCGGAATTCACTGGTCATTGGTTGACCGGCTGGGAGAGACAGGGGAGGAGATCTTTTGTGGGGAAAGATCAGCACTACTTCTTCATCTTCTCGCGGAGAGCACAGTGTGACGGGGTGAACAACCTCACCGGGCAATAATCACCAATAGATACCCCTGGTCTACAGTCACTCGCTATCCATTTCTCCGTCTCAAGTGGTATTCCAGAGTGGCATTCCCCAGACTGACTTGTCTGCAGCGGAGGATGCAGGTCATCCATCCACCCCTTATTTGTCATGCGGGCTCATGCATTATCCGATCGAGTCTATCATCGGAATGAGGGCCAGGTGGCTATACTTAAGCCATGTGCTCCCAGCTCTTTTCCCACGTTTCTCCAGTGGCTCAGACTTCTCCGCTCACTGGCTGGCACTCTTCGGTGTTTGGGGGCAACGATGCACTATTATTCTGTGATCAAGTATCTTTCGCTGCTGGCATGTGCCAGAGCTCAATTGCTACATATTCCTGCTGTGGATGAGATAGTCAGTTCTGCTTTGGAGCCCTTTGCGCAATACACAGCTGTCGGTGCTGCAACAAAAGTCGTCGCTGCCGCTGCCAGCGTGGAAACGGATGCGGCAAATGTTCACGCCCCTGTTGCAAAAGTGGCAGCCGCAGACACTGCGTACTGGCTGGCGGACATCGCTCATCAAGGAGTCGCTGCCTTCAACTCGAACCCCTCTGGCTACAAAGTCTTCCGCAATGTGAAGGATTATGGAGCCAAAGGTGAGAATATTAGGGCGACAACCATTTCTGCGAGTTATTAACGCGAACATAGGTGATGGTGTAACTGATGACACCGCTGCCATCAATGCAGCTATCAGCGACGGTGGCCGTTTCGGCCCGGCAAGCAGACAATCCTCTACTACAACTCCTGCGACAGTGTACTTCCCATCTGGAACGTACCTGATCTCATCGTCGATCATTGATTACTACTTCACCCAGCTAATCGGCAATGCGAATGCTATGCCGGTTTTAAAGGCAACCGCAAATTTCGTCGGGCTGGGCATGATTGACGGCGACCAATACCAGAGCGATGGCAACCAGGGCTGGACATCGACAAATGTGTTCTTCAGGCAGATTCGAAATCTGAAGCTGGACTTAACTTCAATTCCTGCCGCTACTGCTGCAACAGGTATTCATTGGCCGACTGGCCAGGCCTCCAGCATCCAGAATGTTCAGATTGTTATGAGTTCTGCTTCTGGAACGCAACACCAGGGCATTTTCATAGAGAATGGTAAGTTGATACTTGAATCCCTTCAGATCTCGACTAATTAAAATACCAGGCTCCGGCGGCTGGATGACTGACGTGGTAATTACCGGTGGTCTGTATGGAGCCAATGTTGGCAACCAGCAATTCACAATGCGAAATTTGGTCATTAGAAATGCAGTAACCGCAATTTCTCAAATTTGGGATTGGGGATGGACTTATCAAGGTCTCACGATTATTGACTGCGGAACTGCTATTTCAATTAGCAATGGGGGTGCTGGCGCCCAGCTTGTAGGGTCTGTCAATATCCTCGACAGCACCATTCAAAACTGCGCTACCTTTGTGACAACCGCTTGGCAGAGCTCGACACTGTCAACTGGCAGTCTTATTCTGGAGAACATCGCTCTGAACAACGTCCCAGTGGCAGTGCAAGGCGTCGGCGGGACTGTCCTTGCTGGCTCGACAGGCTCCATGACCATCGCCGCCTGGGGACAGGGCCACAAGTATACACCGAACGGGCCCGCAAACTTCCAGGGCTCTTTCACTCCACCTACACGCCCAGGCGCTTTGCTGGCTCCTGGTTCAAACAGGTATTATACCAAGACCAAGCCCCAGTATGCACAATCACCAGTGGCTTCGTTCATCAGCATCAGAAGCGCAGGCGCAAAAGGAGATGGTTCAACTGATGACACAGCTGTTATCCAGTCTGCCTTGGCATCCACCGCCTCCGCTGGGAAGATTCTCTTCTTCGATCAAGGAACGTACAAGATCACCAATACTCTTTATGTCCCGCCAGGCTCTCGGATTGTCGGCGAGGCATACTCCGTCCTCATGGCCACCGGTAGTGTATGGTCGAGTATCACTAACCCTGTCCCGGTGGTTCAGATTGGCAGATCTGGGGAGTCCGGATCCGTTGAATGGTCCGACATGATAGTGAGCACCTCAGGCTCCACGCCGGGCGCTGTACTGGTTGAGTGGAACTTGGCAGCGACATTAGGCTCTGGAATGTGGGACGTCCACACCCGAATTGGAGGTTTCAAAGGATCTCAGCAACAGGTTGCGCAGTGTCCGACGACTGCAGCTGTCTCTGCGGCTTGTCAGGCTGCCTACATGTCCATGCACATTACTAAAACCGCTAGCGGCGCTTACCTCGAGAACGTCTGGCTTTGGACTGCCGATCATGATCTCGAAAGCCCAACTAATACCCAAATCTCAGTCTATACTGGGCGTGGTCTCTTGATTGAAGGAAAGAATGTTTGGCTGTAAGTAACAGGAAGTCATCAACATGCGTTCTCGCCACTAACACCAACGCAAGTTACGGAACGGGATCCGAGCATCACTCGCTATACCAGTACCAATTCTCAGGTGCAAGCTCAATCATGGCAGGCTTTGTACAGACTGAAACACCGTGAGTGATGCTATACTATATCATTCCTCCCTTGATGTTCCTGCCCTGACCGATGGCGCACAGATACTACCAACCCAATCCCAACGCAGCCAATGGTCCTTATCCTACCAACCCTGCTCTCAACGACCCCAGCTATAGTAGCTGTCTGGGTGGAAACTGTAACTCGCTCGGTCTTCGTATTCTCAACACCAAGAACGTCATCATCTATGGGGCTGGCCTGTACAGCTTCTTCAACAATTACAGCACCACATGCTCCACGTTCCCGCTTCCAGAGAACTGCCAGAGCATGATTTTCAGCATCGAGGGAAGCACAAGTGGACTGGTTGTCTATGGACTCAATACTGTGGGCACAACTTACATGATCGTGAAGGATGGTACTGCGCTGGCGCAGGTCAGTGACAATCTGGCTACATACGCTGCCACTATTGCATATTTCACCCTTTGAGGTATCATAGCTTCTATATTCGGAATGTGAAATATATTTTATCCGTGATTCATGAACTGCCTCCACTATCAAAGCCACGGCAACTCCCATTGGCTCGGATTCGTATCCGACAGGGGAAATCTCTTCGGTAACTAGCCTTTATAAGCTTTATAAGCGGTAGCATATTTCAGATGATCTCTTTAGGTTGTCTTTCTAAATTATGTTTCTAAATTGCCTTTTTAAATTACATTTCCTAGTTGTCTTTCCTAATTGTCTTTCCTTTTTTCTCGCTATGTTCTTCGCTCGTGGAGGGTGTTAGATCTCTCCCTCTTTCCATAGCTCAGTTAGTCTTCTACCTCAATCAACATCTTCATGATGCATCTCGACGTCTCTCTCGGTAGACTCTGACACAAGGCTCCATGGATTCCTAGATATCGATAAGCGGACAATGTTGATATGTTGTTTTTGATACGCCTAGGTACATACCTCTCCGTTCTGCGCGGGAAACTCCCGAGGTCCACTTTTCGTCCACCCCAGAACAGACATCTGAGACATCCTGTCAGAGTTACGCTGCACAACACTTGGGGGGATTTCGGACTTTATTCAACGTACACCCCCTCTTGGGCTGTTAAAATGCTGTTCCTGATCTTATCTCTAGATCTCATGCGGAGAGCATCACGGAGCTGAAGAACTTCAGTGGCGCTTTTCACTTACCACATAGGAACTCCATACATAGGCCCCACGCTAAACCATACCAGGCTGACCTGCCTTTCCCATTTTGGGGAGAACTTGAGAGATACATATATCATACAGTCTGGAATTTTCTATCTAAAAGCTTCACTGACTCAAATTCCACCGTTGAAATGGAAGCCATAGCGATGGCCGTGTGCGGCATGTCCCAATCGGGCCGATCAGTTTCGGGAAAGTCGCGGCTCCACTTGTGATCCCCGGAGCGCTTTCAGAGATTTTTTGGGGCCTGGCTAAAATTTTTAGTCTTTGAAACAGATGCCGTAATTGAATCGATTTGTCAATTTAGTCTGCTTAAAGATCTCGACTTGGAGAAGTGTTGAGTCAGACAGTCATGTTTGACACCAAGACATGTGCTGTGGACGACGGCATGGTGGCCGATGGACCCCTCGAGAAAGATCTGGAGAAAAAATCGGACGCGAAGCACCTGGAGCCATTTGGCAATGAGGACAACGCCGAGGTCAAGTATCGGACTATGAAATGGTGGTAAGTACTGGATGCTCTATTCATTTTAATACATACCTCGATATAGACATGCTGATCATGGTTAAACAGGCACTGTGGAATGCGTAAGTCTCCGGTTCTCGATATCTACCATGCGCTTTGAAAGCTTCGGTCTCTAACGCCAGTCCCAGTCATGATTGCGGAGAATGTATCTGTGGGTATCCTTTCTCTGCCATCCGCAGTGGCGACTCTTGGAATGGCCCCGTATGTATCCCCCTTTGGCAGCTTGAAGATACCATGACTAACATTTTCAATCAGCGCTGCTATCATGATTGTGTTCATCTCTGCTCTTTCATGGTACACCGGCTATGTCATTGGCCAATTCAAACTTCGTTACCCCGAGGTTCACAGCATGGGTGATGCTGGTGAAATCTTGATGGGTCCCTTCGGCCGTGAGTTGCTGGGACTTGGCCAGCTGCTACTGCTGATCTTCCTCATGGCGAGCAACATTTTGATGTTCAATATCCTGATGAACGTACTAACTGACCATGGTACCTGCACGTTGGTGTTTGGTGTCGTCGGACTGATCATCTGCTTCTTGGGTGCTTTGCCTCGTACAATGGACAAGGTCTACTGGATGTCCGTCATCTGTAAGTATTTCACCAGGGTGATTGTAGCATAACCTATTCCGGGGGGAATAACTTGACTGACCTAAATCAAGCATTCGTCAGTGTCTTTGTCGCCACGCTGTTGACCATGATCACCGTGGGAGTCCAGAGCAAAGGACATGTTGTCAACGAGGCCGTCACGGATGTCAGCTTCCGCGACGGATTCTTAGCGGTGACGAACATCATTTTCGCCTACTGTATGTTGCCCCAGCATCTAATGGAGTAAACCGAGCTAATCCGAGGGCCTATCTTATAGTGGCTCACGTTGCGTACTTTGGCTTCATGTCCGAGACCGAGGACCCACGCACATTCAACAAGTCGCTTGCAATGCTTCAAATCGTCGACACAGTCTTGTACCTTGTCAGCGCTCTGCTCATCTATCACTACGTGGGACCCGAAACCGCCACCAGCCCCGGTGTTCAGTCGCCTGCTATTCTGTCTCTGAGCCCTCTGATGAGCAAGATTGCCTGGGGTCTCTCAATCCCGACTGTAAGCTCTTTCTTTTTGGTCACGTTTCCTTGATTACCGTTACTAATTCTATACAGACCATTCTTTCCGGTGTTGTCTTAGGCCATGTCGCGTGTAAATACATCTACGTGCGTCTTTTCCGTGGATCCGACAAGATGCACAGCCGAAGCTTCCTGTCGATTGGATCATGGGTTGCTATCTGCATTGCAGTCTGGGTTGTGGCCTGGGTTGTCGCAGAATCAATTCCCGTGTTCAATGATCTGCTGAGTCTGATTGTAAGTTTCGAATCATACCACACTTCGCAAGTTATCTGAGCACCTTGACTAACGCAGAGATTACAGAGTGCGCTCTTCGGCAGTTGGTTCAGCTGTAAGATTTATTCTCCTTCCCATCATCCAATCTACAAATATCTAAAAAAATACTGACCTACTGACAGTCGGACTCCCTGCGATCTTCTGGCTCTACATGAACCGCGGCCGGTACTTCCAGAACTGGAAGAAGACCGTTCTCACAATCACCAATCTTCTGGTGCTGGCTATTGCCATTGCCATTGTAAGTATCCTCCTATTTGTCCATCTTTGCCGGGACTAACGTTATGTAGTGCGCATTGGGATTGTGGGTGTCAGGTGTCGCAATCCACGAAGACTCTAACGCTCGAAGTTGGTCTTGTGCCAACACTAATTGATTGGGGACTGACGAGGCTCGAGAATCTCTCTCTTTTGAGGGTTTTCGGCGTAAAAATTACTACGATGTATAGATTCAATGTTTAGATTTAGATCTGTCAGGCTATATAAGCCTTTCCTATAGACCGCAGCTTTTTAGCATAGTTCATAATGCATTTCAAGGTGTTCCTCTTACTACAACCGACATTCCTCAGATTGCGATAACTCCATTTGAATGCATTCGATATAGCCTTCCATCCTTATAGATTTCTTGGCAATACATCCATGTGTCGGACTGGCCCACTCCGAAGCTTGGCGTCTCCGCTCACATTGGACATTCCCCGCTTTGGTGGAAGCGTCCCGCCTCGCATCCGCCCTATCTCACCACCTGGGCAGTTGCCCCCAAGATATTGGATTGACTTCTTCTAGTTGACAGATCTCCGTGAACTGCTTCCATCTCAGAAGCCATTCAAAAGACTGAGGGTCCTCAGTGCCTTTCTTTTTCTATCGGATCAATAAGTCGCTATATTCCAAGTACCTCAAATGATCTCAATTTCTCGTTTTTTATAGTTCGTTTGCCTGGTCTCTGCAACATTGCTCGTTCTGAAGTGTCGATTCATAGATTCTCGTCTCTATCGCCCTGACTTTTGAAGAAAGGTCCTGATTGCGACCTCAATAGTACCAATATGTCTGCGAAAACACCCACAGGGGCAGTCGAGGACGAGCGAGCATCTTTGACCTCCCGAGTGATCCCTATCATGACATTATCGCAAGGAACAAGCCCGCTGACTCGCCCCTTCCCTCCTGTGAGCTTGGCACCTGCTCGTGTGCGAGCAGAAGCACGCTTCCGAGTTAACGGGACAGCCATAGTTACCGGTGGGGCTGGAGCGCTTGGCCTCATATCCGCCCAGGCGCTCCTAGAACATGGACTCTCGGCACTGTGTATCATGGACCTCCCCATGACCCTCAAAGCTTCAGATCAACAAATCCAATCACTGGTATCGGAGTTCCCCTCTGCGAGTATTACCAAGATCCCCTTGGATGTGACGGCAATGGAATCTATCGAGGCCGCATTCGAGCAGGCAAATAAGACCATGGGCGGGATTGATATTCTCTGCTGCTTTGCTGGAATCCCAGGATGTCAACCATCCCTCACTGTAACGCTCGACCAATTCACCAAAGTGATGGATGTGAATCTGAACGGATCGTTCTTCTGCGCGCAGGCAGCAGCAAAACGTATGGAAGCTTCAAAAAAGGGTGGGTGCATCTTGTTCACTGCGTCGATTTCGGCGCATTGTACCAATTTCCCTCAGCCGCAGGCTGCTTATAATGCAAGCAAGGCTGGGGTCGCGCATCTGACGCGCAACCTGGCTGCTGAGTGGGCGGTTCATGGGATTCGAGTAAATAGTATCAGTCCCGGGTATATGGATACTATTCTCAATGCTGGAGATGGATTGGCGGATGTTAGGAAAGTTTGGGATTCTCGGTGTCCTATGGGTCGGATGGGAGATCCTGAGGAGACCACTGGGGCTGTTGTTATGCTGTGCAGTCAGCGTGCGGGTCGATACATTACTGGGGCTGATATTGTCATTGATGGGGGGACTTTAACTCTGTGATGATATGTGAATGTGTCTGAGATCTGTGAGGTTTGCATATCGTTCTCACTGCTTTCCACTTCCACCCCATTTCTTTTATATACTCATGACAGACCTTTCTTTACATTCATCGCCTTTTTGGAAGGCAAGCTTGTGATCTTTGACAGCTTGTTGTAGATGCTTGAGGCTTATGGTCTCGGATTTGAGGGTGGATACGGATATGGAATTTGTGGCGGCCCAGTCTGCGTAGTCAAGGAGGACACCGCGGCCTGTTATTCCACCGTGTTCGCACACGGCTATATGATTAAAGTGTAATAGCTAGTTGTGGCTTGTTAGGAAATGAAAGAACTTTTGCTTACAGTGAATGCCAATAACATCTGAACCCTCGATCTCCTTCCTTGTATGGCCGTTATAGAACTGCCATGACTTCTGGTTTGCTAGATAGAGCCAATAACCATTAAAAAAATAATCAAAATGACAGTCAATTGCTCTTTCAATATATCGTAATGCCTAAATCCGTCCCACTGAGTCCATATCTGGCTATTAAACGTCAACACGTCATCATAAACACAATTCGGATGCCGAAGAACAATCTGCTGCTTAAACGGATCGTGATTGAAGCTCGGATATGAAGGCATGCTGAGTGGCCAATCGAGCGAAATCCGCACACCGGTTTTGATTTCCTTTGAGGCTTCGATGACACGTTCGCTGGTGAGCAGATTTAATGTCCCCAGCTGGTCATCTTTTCCGAATCGACCCTAGGCGTTCCCTCTTAGGCCTGTCGGGCCTAATGGAAGGGAGTCGAAGGGAATTTTCGTGTCTTTGGGTGTATTTGCCACGGTGCTGGGTCTGTTAAAACAATGTGAGATTTCGGTATATCTTCTTTACGGTGATGGTGCAGAGCGCCCCTCCCCATTGGATGTGAGAACTCATGAAGTTAGTCTTCATCTTAGGATTCCACGATTTAATTTTCCCAACAAAATAAAACACCAAATATGGCCTGTATAGATGGCACGGACCAAGCGGAGGAATGTTGATCCAGCCCCACGTTGCTTCACAAAGGGATGTCACTAAGGCTGACAAGAAGAGCTAGCATTCCAAGGTTGCTCTTCGGGCTGAATATGAATCAAATCCCTTTGGTCCAGGGTGACTTCAGATCAAGGTGTGACCATTTCTGGGTATGAGCACATGGCCCCCCTTGCTTCGGCTCTCATCCGACTGACCAATCCAGGACTCGCACAATGCGTGGATATCACCTTGTGCATTGCCTTACCTGGCGTGTATCCCAGCGACCATAGTATTGATGATTGCATTGAGCCATTTAATTGGAAGCTTCTCCAAGAACTGGCGCCCTAAATGGACCGTCCCTTTTGTGTCCGAGGAACATGATACTCAAGAGCTTCCGCTAGATCGTCCCAAGCAATCATTGCGTTGGACAGTCTCTCTTCTTGTATTTTCAGCTATTGGACTTCTGGCTGAGTCTGTTCAGTTTGTTCCTCCAAGATTCGATGGTTCAGCTTTTGTTCTTGTCCTTTCATGGGTTAGTTGTCCGCTCATTCGAGAGTATCGGCCACTGACGCCATTATTAGGCTACAGCATCAATTTTGGTCGCATTCAAGCGGCCTAGGTCATGTCCCATCTCGCTACTTGCATATTATGTAGTAACATTGGCGATTGAGCTCTCACTGGCGACTCATCCAGATATGAGCCCGAAATTCAAAATCATTGCGCGCTATATCGCCGCAGCGGCAGCAGCAGCAGCTTGTGCAGCAATTCTCTTGATGCCGTTTCGCGAGCCTTCGATATCGTCAGTAGATATTAGCGCTGTTGGACAACAACCATCAAATCACTTTCGCACCCCAGAAGACAATTTGAAGCTCTGGCAGTTCCTCACGGTGTCATGGATGGCACCACTTATCTCCACTGGACGCAAAAGACAGCTACATGAACAAGATGTTTGGCTGCTGGGCTTTGACTTTCAGCATAGCCGGCTCCATGAAAAGTTTCGTCGGCTTCGTGGCTCTGTCCTTGGTCGACTATTGAGGGCCAATGGAATTGATGTTTTTATCATCTCTACAGTCTCGATTGTTCAGATGCTATGCGGTAGAGTGACTCCGATCTTTTCTTTCGTCTTTGTAACTAACAAAACTCACAGACTTTTCGACTCCTGTATTATTGCAGCAACTATTACAGGCTATGAAAGATCCGTCGCAACCAAAACGCGTACCTCTGACGTATGCCTTCCTATCTTTTACTCTTAGACTTGTCGCTGCGCAGTCCCAAGTGCTGCTTTTGTGGTATGGAAGACGTTGCTATGAAAGATCACGAGGTGAAATGATTATGATGGTCTATGAGAAAGCCCTTTCACGAAAGAATATCTTCGGGCTGATGGTTGAGGACAAATCAGAACCGACCAATGGCGAATCGAACGATGCTATTAACGACAATGTAGCTCAGGATGGCCAACAACACCCAACCAAAGCAGTGGAAGGGTTCTGGCGTCGTGTCATCTCTCGCAGACAAAACACCCCGCAGAAGCCTGCCAAGGAAGCTGCATCACTTGGCAAGATTTTCAATCTCCTGCGAGGGGATGTTTACGAAGTGGCTCAGAGGTTTTGGGAGGTTGACTCTCTTATAGACAAGCCGCTGGGACTTGTAATCGCCACGTTCCTTGTCTGGACACTCTTTGGCCCGTCCTGCTTCCTGGGTATATTAGCTGTCATCGCTGCACAGGCCGTGAACGCACTAGTAACCAAGGTTCTCCTTCGTTGGGAGCGTGTCAGACGAGCAGCAACCGATACCAGGCTCCAAATCACTTCACAATTTGTCGAAGCAATCCGTCACCTGCGATGGTATGGGTGGCAAAACCATTGGCTCAACCAGGTAATGGAAGCCCGACAGCATGAGTTAAATATTCGAATCGTCACCAGTCTGTGGAGCATATTGATTCGTTTCATCAATGCTTTCGCAAGTGGCGTCTTTCCAGTTGTTGCGTTGTACGCATATACGTTTTTAGCTGGACATGAATTGCGGATTGACATTATATTCCCCGCCTTGCAGTTGTTTACCATGCTAGAGACCCGACTGCGTGATATTCCTGGTCTTATCACATCGCTCATCAATGCTTTCATTGCCCTAGGTCGTATCGAGGACTTTATGTCCGAACCAGACAAGGAACGCTCGCCTTCTGGACCTTCCGCAGACGAGACTCCGCTTTCAATGCAGTCTTGCTCGTTCGCATGGCCCGGGAAGCTCTCACCTGTCCTGGTTGATATTGATGTCACCATTCCTAAAGGATTGACAGTTGTCACCGGCAAAGTCGGGGCTGGCAAAACTGCCTTCCTGCAAGCTCTTTTGGGGGAACTTGATAGACTTGGTGGCACAGCCCATATTCCTAACGAGATGGTCGGATACTGTGCCCAGACACCATGGCTACAAAGCATGAGTATTCGGGATAACATTCTGTTCTCTGCTCCTTATCATGAACAGCGCTACAAGCGGACTCTAGAAGCCTGTGCTTTGCTTCCCGATCTTGCCCAATTCAAACACGGCGATTTGTCGTTTGTGGGCGAAAATGGTATTGGCCTATCGGGTGGACAAAAGGCTCGAGTAGCTTTGGCAAGGGCTGTCTATAGTGCATCGCAAGTTTTACTTTTGGATGACCCTTTGTCTGCGCTGGATCATAATACCGCGGAGCTAATAGTCCGCAAATGCTTTTCGGGGCCTTTGATGAAAGACCGGACTGTTGTTCTGGTCACGCACAGGACTACATTGGTTCGTCAAATTGCGGATCAAATCGTTGATATCTGTGAAAAGCATGCTACTGTCTACGACAAAGATACAATAAATCTTGATGTGACCGAATCTTCACAGCAATTCGTCGATCATGAAGGCGAACTAGAAGCGGAACCTACTCTGGAGGAAGAGTCAGCTGCTGTACCAGACAAATTCATTGATGATGAGCATCGAGCAGAGGGGGGGTGTCAAGGCTCGGGTCTATTGGAACTATATCAGGGCCGGAAAATACCGCTGGTGGCTTTCCCTCGTCTTAATTTTGGCAATTTACCGACTGATGGCTGTCGGACAATCATGGTTCCTCAAAGGTTGGGGAGAAGCCTACGAGCAGACAACTGTTCTTCGGGGGGACCTCTCTAATTGGACTGAAAGAAGGTCACAAGGCTCCTGGCTACTCTCGGTGTCGAGCATGGAGACATACTTTATGCCGCAGAACCCGATAGAACAACTGCCTCCTCCACGTGAGGATGTGAGACCCTGGCTGTGGACATTCTTTGCTATCATCTCTTTTCAGGCTGCCACACTCCTCATCGCTCAGCTGCTAATGCTGGTTATCGTTTACTATGCCGGGCAGTCGTTGTTCCGACAGGTCTTGGTTCGAGTCAGCCATGCGACCTTCCGATACCTAGGTAAGTTCTATTGCTTGGATTCAGCACTCCAGAGTTAACCCACAGTCTAAGATACAATCCCTCTGGGGCGCTTGATGAACCGTCTCACATCTGACATTGGCGTCGTTGATGGTAATATCAGTGAGCAATTCCAAGTGATTGCATTCCAGGCTATCATTTGGATCTCTTCCGTCCTGGTAATCGCCACCGCTACCCCAGTCTTTTTGTTGTTCTCCGTTGCTCTCACTGTAGCGTTTGTCTTGATATTCCTGCGTTTCCTTCCCACATCTCAGAGCTTACGGCGCCTTGAGATGGTATCCCTGAGTCCTCTGTTATCCAACTTCGGCGAGTTATTGCACGGCCTGACCACCGTCCGAGCATTCCATGCAGAGTTACAGTTCCAAAGCCGCGTCATATCTGTGGTTGACAAGTTCCAAGGGATGGATCATTTCTACTGGTCACTTCAAAGCTGGCTCATGTACCGGTTCGAGGGCCTATCCGCTTTTTCAACCTTTTGTCTCACAGCTCTAGCTTTGTACACTAATACCACACCGGGATTGGTAGCATTCGTGCTTATTGCTGCAAATAACTTCGTGCAGTCCACACATGCATTGTGCAAGCAATATGGCCAACTTCAAATGGATTTTGTGTCGGTAGAGCGAGTCGACGAGCTACTCCACATCGAAGAAGAAACACCCGGTACCATCGCCCCCCCAGCCGCATGGCCAACTTACGGTAGTGATGTTGTCTTTGAGGATGCAACTCTTCGTTACGCGGCACATCTCGAACCCTCACTTGCGAACATCTCTCTCCGCATCCCCGGGGGATCCACTACAGCAGTTACCGGCCGCACAGGAAGCGGCAAGTCCACACTGGCAATGTCGCTATTGAGTGTCATTAGACCAGAATCTGGTCGCATTCTCATCGATGGAATCAATATCGCCGACGTTAACACACAAGCATTGCGCACGCGTGTCACCTTCGTTGCCCAGGATCCTGTTCTTTTCCCTGGTAGCATCCGACTCAATCTAGACCCGACCGAAGACTATTCCGATGAGCAGTGCTCCGAGGTCTTGGAGCGTCTGTGTAGTCGGTATGGATGGCATCTTGAAACGAATATTGAGGCTGGCGGAAGGAATCTCAGCCAGGGGCAACGGCAACTTATCGCTCTTACGCGAGCTGTCCTTCGTCGAAGCGCAATCGTCATTCTCGACGAGGCAACTGCTTCGGTTGACCATGAGACTTCTCTTGAGATCCAGCAGATTATCCGGGAAGAGTTGCAGCAGTCTACGGTCATCACTATTGCGCATCGCATCGAAGCGGTCAAGGACGCGGATTACTTCGTGGTTCTAGATCAAGGGCGTGTTTCGCGACAAGGACATGTACGGGATATGTAGATTTTTTTTGTATTGTCGAATTAGACTGATGGTGATGACAGCCGTCGGTACGTATACAGAACATTCACATCCGCCAAGTTGACCGGATAGAACGGAAGTACAGAGAAAGCCCGAAATAACCGCCCTTGTGGATGAGGGAGTCCGTGTAAAATTTCTCAAAGGGGTATATAATCTTTACAGCTTGGCACCGCCCTGGGCCTTCTTCAGGATAGGCTCCATCTTTGTAGCCTTCATGATGTTGCCCTTGATCTTCAACTTGCCGCCCATGAACAAACGCTGCGCATTGGCCTTGCCGGAAACGAGTTGGCTGAAATCTTGGTCGGAGAGGGAGAGAGTGACTATTGGCAGAAAGGAATTAGCGCACGAAGGGAACAAAATCGCAGCGTGTCGGCGCGCAGAGTAGGAGTGGAGACTCACCATCAGCCTTCTCGCCAGATGGGGCAAGACCCTGACCGACTTCACCCTTGTTCTTAAGGTCGAGGTACCAGGCGGATTCCTCACCGCTGGCGTTCTTCAGGTTGAAGGCGAAAATAGCCTTAGCCTGGCTGAGAGCGGCCTTGCGGTCGGCATCGTTAGCCTGGAGCGTCTGGTTGATGACGTCGAAGGCAGCGGACGAGGGGTGGGAATCTGGTTCCATTAGCAGCTGGTTTTCTCAGAAAGACAGGGACATACCTTTCTTGAGAGACATGGTGAATGTAGTGGTACAGGGTGTAATGTGGCCAGCTCACACGGGGGTGACAGACGAATATAAATGATGACATGCGCAGCATGTGAACTGTTGCTCTCGTGCCGAGGCCCCGTGAGCCCACCTTCTCCACACCGAGGGAGCCCTGCTGTCTGTGATTCTTGATTCTTATGGCTCTCATTCCTCCTATGCCGAACTGAGATCAAGATCTGCATTTCTTTTACTCCGTACACCCCTGGGCCCTCTGCTATCCCAATCTACCCCAACCGTGTTGACGGTTAGCTCCCTGGGGGTTTCCCCCAACTCCACATAAATCGCGCTTGTGGTGCACTAGAGGGGGTTGCACAAATACGACCGCGGTATCACGGAGTACTAAATGATTATTAACCTATGCTAATCCTTCCTCGGAGCAGACCGTTGGGAGCCACTTACCTCCGATGTTACCGCCAACTAAACACCGAAGGCCGAAGCAATCGCTTCATATGATCCGGGCTTCTTCCCCACAGCTCGCGCGTCCGGGATCGTGCCCCGGCCAAGCTTCTCAATGTGCTTGGACCCTTTCGTTGCTGTAATGTGCAAATTGCCTTCTGTAAATGTTTCCGGCCGAGTCCGGCACTCAATACTATAGGGACATCGACGCTCTCCCTGTTGCGCTGACCCTGCATCCATTCCTCGCTGCCGCTGAGTCGTGTCAATGGCGCCAACGCGTCGTCCCAATTGCCGCTGCGGAGTACCACGTCTTCGAAATTGAATTCGCGGAGGGAGTGCCGACGCTCCGGGATAAAAGATGTTACTTGCGACGCATCCCTCGTTGCATTGACCAGCTCCATCTGTAGGAGATGTGGGAATCTTAATGGTCGCACTCGTGATGCGCTTTTATGAGGACAGGCTTGGCTTGGCTTCCCTGTGCGTGCATGTTCAAGGCGCGGCTCCGTTGCGAGTGATAGGGGTGACAGACCCCTCTCTCCTTCCCAGTGAAAGTCTATTCTTTTCACGGCTGGGAAGCTTCCTATATATGCATGGAGGAGTTTGAGATGGTCCGTCGGTTTGCCTGGCTCGTGACCGAAACTCCTCATGTGGATTGTGAGCTTGCGGGTCTGGGACCAGCGCTTGCAGGTGATGCACCAAACCCTGGATTTGGGCGTAGCTAAAGCACTGCACCTGGATGAACTGACAACAGTGACAAATTATGGAGGCCCTTCAACGGTGCTTGTCCAATCGTCATTCGCCATGAGATTAATGCATAGTCCACTATACTTCGACGATAGCTGTGGCTTGGTGCTTGACCCTCGCACGAATTCGCAAATGCTGCAAATTACTCATCATTATCAATGCGTGGGTAAATGACGCGATGTCGGTAGATGCATGGAACAGAGGCGGATACTGCTTGACTAACACATCTGTCATTTGCCTGCTACCATACTTGGGGCTTTGGGTATCAGGTGAGAGTGCTGCTGCAGAAACGGACTTCAACATCGGCAAAGAGGGGAGGCGCCAAGCTGAGAGCGAGCTTGCGATATACCAACCGGCACGCGGTTAGATCCTTCTTTGCTAGGTTCTTCGTGAAGACCGGTTGGATGCAATGCATTTCCCAGGTTTGAAACAACCTTTGTTCTAATGTCATGGTCGGTCGTTACTTCACTCCAAAGTCCGTCTGCATATATATAATTGGAGCAGAAGGTCACTCGAAAGATGAGTGTTGCGCGTGGATGGTGGTAAAATAAGTATTCGAGATCAATATATACCTAGGTACTCCATATAGACAGAATACTCCGTACAGATCATACATTCGCAACCAATACCACGCATCTCCCCTTGATTTATGTTGCAGCTACCTGTGGGAAACACCGCGGTTCGGCTTGTTCCTATCTCCATCTAGACATTCGAAGGTAGTTTTTGCCCAAGCTGCAGATCAATGCTGTACTCCTGCTTGTCTTTTTACGTGCGATTCGGCCATTGACTCCTAAACTAGGGCGCCATATGAGTCATAACTTCCCACAGTCCAGATCGAAATGTTGGAACTATAAGTTCTGACCCCAACGCTGGCTCAGGTGTAAATGTCGTACTTCCAAATTAGGATAACAGGGCAAGCGCTGATAAGCCCTGTGTTTGACTTGTTTGACTCAGCGCGTACGCGTTTGGCATCACGTGCTGATAAGAGCGCGTTCATATCAAAGAAAGTAAGGCGCTTGCGCATCGATTCAGGGGCATGAAGAGAATTACCTAAGGATTTCGAAGTTTTTCGCGATAAATCTATAATAAAAACATTTTTATAAGATAATCAGGCCCCAGTACTATCTATAATCATGATTGAAACCATGTTGCTTGAAGGAGGCCCGAATAGAAGAGTTCCTACGGGACCTTGGCTGGTGCTCACCATGACATCTTGGGCGAGAACTTCAACACCCCGCAAGGTGAACAACCCGGCCAGCTGAACACTTGCAACGACATCAAGCATCGAGCCATTTCCATCCGTTCTTTTGCGCTACAAAAATAGCGGCCACTCATTCTCTGCGATTCTTATCGCTTCGCTCTTTGAACCTCCCACGTCACTCGCAGGTTACTCCCCCAGGTGAAAGCCATTGATTGTACTCCGTACTCGATGTAAGTTTACAAAGCCCACAAAGCCTCAAATTAGGAGGCGAAGACGTGCTTCCTCCTCATGCATTTTCCCTATGCTTTGTTTTTCTTCCTGTGCCATCTGCGAGCACCCGTCTTCTGTGTAGTGGTTTGCTTATGAGACCCAAGTTTCGCTGACTGACTATCCTAGACACTTTTGTCCCTGATTTCTACCTCCCACTCGAAAGCGCAGCTCTGCTGACCGCGAATATCGCCTTTTACCCTACTGTCACGCCCATGAACCTCTCCTGCTGATACAATACCTACGAAGTTGATATTTTGGCCTTGGAATGTTACATGATCAGCATCCAGGTGCGTTTAAGCCATGGCCTCTGCAGTTGACCAGTCCCAGGAGGACAAGATCAAGGATCTTCTAGAAGATCTTGATACATACAGATATATCTATGATGATCTCCTGGAGACGCGGGGTGACTGTGAAGAAGCAGCTGAGCTTCGCGAGACCATCAGAAAAATGGAAGTACAGGTTGCCACCCTCCTTGGTGATCCTGTTCCCACTCCTCAAGCCGCCTCGACACCGCAAGTGCCATCGCTTCCTCCAGTAGTGGCACCTGAACCCGCCACTCCTCGCATGCCGTCAAGTGGTTTCACTGGAATTCCGGGCGTTTCGTTTGCATCCCCTCATTGGCCTTCTGCTGCGCCCTCACCTTTCACGAACGAATCTCGCCATCCGTCGCGGTATACACAATCACCAATTCTACCCCCTCCAGAAATTTCCCGTAAACGCGCGCGTCCAGTATCTGGCCTCTCGCCCACGCTGCAGGGTTCATCGAAAAGGAATGCTCTTTCACAGCCAGGATCTCGCAGATCACAACTTGATGTGATAGATGCTAACAGAGAAGCCCGCCTCGACGAGAATGATCGCTTGTATAAGGGATGGATGGACGCCGCAGGTAGTGATGCGACTCAGTTGAGGGAACTCCAAGAGGAACGCGATGAACAGGCGAAGTTGATTGAAACGGAGTTTCAAATGGAGCGAGATGCGGAATTGGCTCGCGCCCTTCAGGCCGATGAGGACCACGTTCGATTCCCAGTCAAGAGCTCCAACAGTCGGGTTTCATGGGATCTGCCAGACCGCAGTCAACCGGTGAAACTCGAACCTGGCACAAAGACAGGTTTTGCCCCTCAAGCATATGCCCCAATAGCCCCTTTCAACAAACTCACTCCGTTCTCATCCGATGATGATATCCAAGAAATCACAGCCGATTCCTTCAATGCCCGAATCGGCAAGCAGCCACACGAGCAGTCCAATTCTTTCGGATATCCTAGGCTGCCATCTTTTCCTCAGCCATTTTCCAAGTTGTCATATTCCTCACAGTCGCCTTATCCTTCCCAGATACCATATCCCTCCCAGTTGTCATATCCTTCTCAAATGTCATATCCCTCCCAGCTATCGAAGCCTCCGCTATCGCATCCTTTTCAACTGTCTCATCCCTCCCAAATGCCATCTTCCCCTCCGATACCTGGACCCCGACACCTTCCATGGGTGGGCCAGTCTGGATACCCTGCCGTGCCGGGTGCCTATGACAATTTCGAAAAGGCATTCGATCTAGTCCGCAACCAGCAAGAAATTTGGGATGACGACATGGACATAGAGGCCTACAACGAGAAAGAGTTCCCGGAAGACATCAAGAACCTGCTCAACGGGATCAAAGATATTCGGGAAGCCACCAAGGCGGATAATGACGAGACACCTAGGGCTCTGAGAGTGACATTGATGAAGCATCAGAAAATTGGCTTGAGATGGATGAAGGCCAAGGAAGAGAGCAGCCATAAAGGAGGAATTCTCGCAGATGACATGGGCCTTGGTAAGACCGTTCAAGCGATTGCGCTTATTGTCGCTCGTCCATTCGAGGATGAGGCACGGCGCCCAACTTTGATTGTAGCGCCCAAAGCACTCATGCACCAATGGAGACTCGAAATCCAGCGTCATGTTAAACCAGGAAGGCATCAATTATCAGTTTTGATCTATCATCAACGGCGCACCCCCTGGAAGGAACTCAAAAAGTTCGACATTATCATCACGACGTTTGGTACCCTTACTGCTCATTACAAAACGTTACTTCAGGCTATACAGTGGGAAGAGGAAGGTCGAGATGCCTCGATGGTTCAAGAACTCAAGAACAAGGCGGGCCCCCTCAATCCTGCCGCCAAGTGGCACCGAGTCATCGTCGACGAAGCACAAAACATCAAAAACCCAGCGGCAAAATCAGCAGAGGCCTGCTGTCGTCTCAATTCCACATACCGTTGGTGCCTAACCGGTACTCCCATGATGAATCGCCTTGAGGATTTCCAGTCACTGCTTGGATTCTTGCGGATTCGGCCATACAGCAACGCAAGTAAATTTAAGGCGGTAAGTTCTCGTCATGGCCTACTTCAAGTCTGTTACTTCGAGTTCATTAAGTGACTAACATCTATGGATGCAGGATTTTGTGAGACGCATCAAATCGGGCTGGGGAGGAGAGGATGTAATGAAGCAATTGCGAGTCCTAGTCAAGTCCGTCTGCCTTCGACGTACAAAATCTTCTCAAATTGATGGCCAGCCAATTCTGCAACTCCCAGCAAAGATCACCGAGAAGATTCATGTTGTGTTCGACGAGAGGGAAAGTCAGGTTTATGACGAGCTTAACGCGAAAACCCAGTCACAGATCAACCGATACCTCGACGCTGGCACGTTGGGAAGAAACTACAGCCATGTTCTGGTTCTCCTTCTCCGTCTCCGGCAGGCATGCTGTCATCCTCTCCTCATGCAAGCATTCCGAAGCACACCTCTTCCATCTGCCCCAGGATTGGATAAGATTGCCAACGCTAAGCTACTAAGCGCTGCTGTAGTACAGCGGATCAAATCAAATGACGACGAGGAGGATGGCACCTGCCCTGTTTGTATGGACAGTGTCGAAAACGCGACCATTTACATTCCCTGTGGACACCATGTGTGCTCGGAATGCTGGATTCGCATTTCCGATTCTGCCAATGCGAACGGTGCCATCAACCTCGACGATGATGGCGCAATTTTGATAAAGTGCCAGAATTGCCGAGGTCCCGTAGATCCAACAAAGCTCACTGACACTAATGCGTTCAAACAAGTTCACGATTCAGACTCAATTCCCACTTCTACTGATGGAGCCGGAGACGCTGATGCCAATGACGCGGATGATCCAGAGGCAACAGCGAGCAGTGAAGAAGATGAATCTGATAGCTTTAGTGAAGATGAAAACGGCCGAAAACAAAAGAGATCCCTAGCCCAGCTCCGAGCGGATTCTTTAAAGAACAAGGCCGAGAAGAAGAAATACCGTCGCCGTCTCGAGAAATCATGGTTCCCCAGCGCAAAGATCACCAAGACGCTGGAAATCCTCCAACAAAATGAAGATCGCGGCGAAGACGAGAAAACCATCATTTTCAGCCAGTTCACCTCCATCTTGGATCTGCTCGAAGTCCCAATCTCCCGCAATGGATGGAACCACACTCGCTTCGATGGTAGCATGAACTTGAAGGAACGCAACGCCGCAGTGACAGCTTTCACCAACGACCCGTCTTGCAAAATCATGCTCGTCTCCCTCAAGGCCGGCAACTCCGGCCTGAACCTCGTTGCTGCCTCGCATGTGATCATGTTCGATCCTTTCTGGAACCCGTACATCGAGGACCAGGCTGTTGACCGCGCCCACCGCATCGGACAGGTTAAAGAAGTCTTTGTCCACCGTTTGCTTATTGAGAATACTGTCGAGGATCGCATTGTCACCCTCCAGGACCAGAAACGCGAGCTCATTAGTGGCGCTCTCGACGAGGGTGGTACTATGAATGTTTCTCGGTTGGATGCTAGGGAGCTTGCTTATCTCTTTGTATGTTTTGACCCTACTTTACCCCCCTACTCCCCCCTACTCTTTATTACTTTATGCTTTGACTGGACTCTTTGCTGACTGTCAATCTCTTGCATAGGGTGTGCGGGACTTGTAACCTTACTCCGTTACTGGCGTTCTCGCTAGAGGATGTTGATCTCGAGATATCTACATTCAGGTAGTCTGATGATGTGATCACATCCACATAGAACCGGGTGTACGGGGGTGGAAGTTCTGATTCGATTTGTTTTTTGTTTTTTTTTTTGCTTCATTCCTTTCAGAGTTCAATGGTTCCTATACCCTGGCGTTGTTCTCTTGAGCGCAAAGAGCGTAATGACATTCAATGGCTGTGTCTTGAATCTATGTGTAGTTGCTAGAAGCTGATTCTTGGACGATTCTCTCATTACTCGTAGTCCAAGTAGTTTTTCAAATGAACTTGTCGAGGATTTCGGAGATCTAAATCTATCTGAGAGTACATAGATAGCCAAGGAAAAAGGACTTAGATCTTGTTGAAAGAAGACATGCTTTTTTGGATGCTGCGTGCTCCTTTCGGGGAGGAAAAAAAGGACAATTGGGAGTGTCTAAACTACTAAGATTGGGGGGAAATCAAAAAAGGAAAAAATGCATGATCGGTCCGTGTCCTCAAAACCACAACTATCCCCTGTCCGCTTTCATTGTATCGTGATTTCGGAGAACAGACTTTGCTTTTGCAGTGCAAAACCCAAACTAAAAAAAAAGCAATCCCCGGGGGTCGTGAACTTCCTGCCTACCACGCGGTTGTGAGACGGGCCTCTGGAAACGCGAGTGGGGGAACAGGGAACAGCGACTCCCAACTTTCATGTCGGAAACTTCGTGGACTCGTATTTGAGCGCACTGCTTTACAGATCGGCATCGTCCTCATCGGGGAGGGGCTGGTTGGCGGCCTCCTCCATCTCCTGGCGGTAAGCCTCGAGCTGCTTCTCATCGACAGTAACCTCGGGGGGAGCAAGGGCAATGCCGGCGACGAAGTCCTGAAAAAAATAGACAGATTAGCACTGCGCATCTTAAATTTCGAATTCTGGGAACACAAATGACGTACGAGCTGGGGGTTGCCAACAAGCTTGCGGGCGAGCCAGAGGAAGGGCTTCTCGAAGTTGTAGTTGGACTTGGCGGAGATGTCGTAGTACTGGAGGTTCTTCTTGCGGTGGAAGGTGATGGTCTTGGCCTTGACCTTGCGCTCCTTCACATCGACCTTGTTACCGGTGAGGACAATGGGGATGTTCTCGCAGACACGGACGAGATCACCTAGAAATTAATCAGTATCGGAATGCATGATAATTGGTGTCGGTTCGCGATCGCGAAAAGAGTCACTCACGGTGCCAGTTGGGAACGTTCTTGTAGGTGATACGGGAAGTGACATCGAACATGATGATACCGCACTGGCCGTTGATGTAGTAACCATCACGGAGACCACCGAACTTCTCCTGACCAGCAGTATCCCAGACATCGAACTGGATGGCACCGTAGTTCTGTTGGGGTCGGGTTAGTTAAAACGATCACACGATGGCACGGTTCGAAGCGGGGTTCTTCGGCGGGGTATAGCATACGGTGTTGAAGTTGAGGGGGTGGACCTCGACACCGAGAGTGGCGATGTACTTCTTCTCGAATTCACCAGTCAGGTGGCGCTTGACGAAGGTGGTCTATTTGGGGTCCGTTATGTTAGTAATGAAGTCGCGGTGAGGCGGGAGTGTTGGGCAGATATTTCGTATTGTTGACAGGCGCGGGGCAAAGGGCAGTCAAGACAAGGAGGGGTTCAGAATGTCCAAAAATATCGCTTCATGATATCGCCATCACTGAGCAGATGGCTACCTCTCCAAGCTCATTCCCATCAACAATCTAACATCAAGATTTCGAATGCGCTTACCTTTCCAGTACCACCGTCACCGACCAGGACGAGCTTGAAAGTGGGGGTCTCAGTAGCCATGATGAAAAACGGTTGAAAGAGAAACTTGAAGAAAAAACAAGTTCAAGAATTCGCGCCGTAGAGATGGGAGCGGGTTGTTAATAAAAGGGAGGGGTGAAAGAAGGGGAATGAATAATAGCGTCTGATGGAATTTTTGCCCCGTCGCTGGGGCTCACGTGACTTTGTGCCTGAGGCGTGCTGACGTAGTGTCAACAAGATGTTGCGCAAGCACATGTCCGTCCAGGTATATGGCTACGTTTGAACGACGATTTTGGAAACCTATATTTCACCTCCATGGTGTATCCTACAAGGCGCTGCTCTTGCTTTGAGTCATCGAAATGAATTTTGATCCTGGTCAGGTATTTGCCTGCAAAGTCGTCATCCAACGCCGTGGTGTCCCATACCTTTTCTTGAGTCTCTCCTTATGAGAATCTAGGCATTTCACAAACATAGAGGCAGGTAAGACATCTCACGTTAGTCATGAAAAGTACGTATCGTCGAAATACAGGATGGTAGCCCTCCCCCCTGTAATCAGTCTCCGTGGTGTTTCCTTTATAGAGGGACCAGGTGACATCCCAGCAAGCCACGTCCACCCCAATTCTGCCGAGGGGTGAGTAGGAGATCCAGTTCTGTGGGCTCAGACCTGGGCTCATCTTTCCGAATAACTTTGACGGATACCGCGCGCTGTAAAGAAGAAGAGTCAGACAATCGGATATTTGAAACATGCAACGGTGTAGAAAGGTTCCGAGACATACCCCTTCATTTTCCTGAACTGTTTGAGCAACCTTTGAAAGACGCTCGTGGTTCAGCCAATTGATATTCCCGAAACTTCGGATTGCGTCGCCAGCTTTGAGTCCCGCCTGGTCTGCTGGGCTTCCTGGAACAACACTATTGACCTTGGCGAACGGAGTTCCTAGCGGGGTGTTATTCGTCAAAGGCTGCACACCTGGCGGGACATTGACGCCATTCGTAGTTGGCCCAGCGGCTTGGGTATTTTGTAGGTTGGCGAAATGTGCGTGTATCCCCTTCTCAAGAAGTCGCATCACTTCCTTATGGTCATTTCGTAGGTGAATGATCCGTACCCGTGTTGTGCGAACTGTTCATCTCTCAGCGACATGTCCTGACCGATGAAGATGCTCGCCAAGCGTACCTTGCGCGATGTCGATATCATCGCGAGGGAAACCGTCGAAGGTGGTGAGGGATGAGGTCATGCGCACTCCATGCTGAAATCCAAAATCCTTATTAGAATGTGCAACAGGAGTGTACTTGGGTCGGGAACCTTACCGACTGTAGAACACTACTAAGCGCTGACAATTCCGCCTCGATGCGTTCTTTCTCCTGCATCAAATCTGGCATCGACAGTTTAGACAAGTCGCGGGGAACGGCCCCGGACACAGGCCCGGACGCCACAGTTGGAGCGTGGATGTTATTGTCCATGATGCTTCCCATAGCAGAGAAAGGAGTGGGAGATGAAGAAGGTCCACGGCGGTGGGTCTCCGCGGGCCTGGAGCTCTCTGCATTTTTATCTAAGCGGCGATGCTTGGCGCGCGAAGTATAGCGCTCTTCACTTTTGCCTCTCTGAAGTCTCGATCGCTTTTCAATATAGCGCTGATAATCTATAGAGAAATTGATCAAGCACTCCAAGATGAAGTTCGCCATTTCAATTCCAGCTATCCCGCTACCTCACCTCATGATCATGACGTACATGGATGGGATTCAAATTCGCAATCTCTACTGCCTGCTCAGTCGGCATAGCAAAGGGGACTCTCCTTCCATTGAGATGCACATGCACTTTCCAATGTCGGAGATGTAGACAAAGCAGGCACTCCCCGTTGCTCTTCCCTCGCCATGAAGTTCGATCCTGTTGTGTTGGGCAGTCGGTTGGGTCCGCCTCTTCTTTCTCCATGCCATCGGGATCCAAGTCTTATATTCTATTGGGCAGGATCACTCTTTGGAGCCATGGCAGACCGGGATGAAATAGAGATCGAGAGACAAGCCCTGCTGGATGATGAATGCGAAGACAAATTCCAAGACAGTGGCGGAGTGACTCCGACCGATAAGTCAACGTCGCATCCATTCAAGAAATGGATGGACAGCTTTCGAGGACGGCGACATGAATCTCCAGTATTTCAACGGCGATACGTGGAAGGCTGGTCGGATGAGTCGTCTCATGGATCCCAAGGTCACCAGTCAAGTGTATCCGACTCGTCGCAGCTCGGGACCGTCCAAACAACCACAGCAAGCATCGGAAGCCAGAGCTTGGTTCGATCGAGGACCACCATTCAGAGCGGAACAACTCAGAGTATGCTGTCAGGTGCTCGCGGTTCTGGTGACAGCCTTCGGCCAAGCACGAGTCCCCATATCGATGAGGCTGCAGAAATGCGGGCCACCAGACGGCGTCATATTTTACAAGAGTTTCTTGCGACCGAGTCTGATTATGTACTTGGTTTGAAGGCTCTGATCGGGGTAAGCTGCTGAGCTAGCATTCGATTTTTTGATTTGTTGCTGATGTGCTCGTACATCTGCAGGTCCTTACCATCTTCAGCACAAGGCGTGAGATCTATGATAATGTCCAAGAGATCCTTGGAATACATGAACGCTTTCTGGTCCAGCTCCAGGCAATATCTCCTTTGTCGGCGCCGCAAACTCAACAAGCGATTGCCTCTGAGCTCACATCGCGAGGAATCACCAAGCGTCTTGGTACCATTGATCTAGGTAGCATAAGAGGACTTCAGCAACGGTCTATGAGGACCCGAACACTCAAGGCATCAATCAACAAGCGCCTTCAGGAACTCACAGCCGAACCAACAGAGGCAGCAGAAGTTGCACGTGAACTTGAAAAATTGGTACTTGATTCTGCCCCAAAGAAAATTCATGTACTGACAGATATGTTTCAGTCGCTTTCCTTCCCCATATATGACCAATTTTGCAGCAACTATGAGCTTTTGACACAAGATGTTGCTCTCTTGCGCCGGTCAATTGCCAACTGGACGGTATATGACCGAGGAATTGAGGCACTGTCCAAATCGGTCGCGTCTACAGAGCGACGCAGACAAGAGGATAACAAATCAATGACCTTGAATGACTTACTGATCAAGGTCTGCAACTATACTTGCGTTGGCCCCTCACACTCTGACCAGAATATAGCCCATCCAACGTCTTTGCAAATACCCCCTTATGCTACAAGACCTACTCCGAGCCACCACCGCCACTGAATGCCCATCTTCTCATGATGGGATTCAACAAGCTTTGGATAGTATGCGGGTGCTGGTAACCCGAATCAATTTGGCAGCTGGGAATCCCATCAACAAAGACCGCATTCACAAGACAATAACACTCCAGAGTAAGGTAGACATTTCAAAATCGGTAAGCAATTCAAGATATCCATTGATGGATAAAAGAATGACCAAAAATTTCAAGCATAACGCACTCCAGGGCATATATAGAGACCTGGGACCAATGGTCCTGTGCGGTGTTCTCCATGTCACATATCAAACAACGGAAACAACCAGTGGAGAATTCATGGTTTGTGTGCTTTTCCATCGCTATCTTCTCTTCGCGAAGGGAGTTGAAGATCTACAACGGTTAGAAGCAATAGCCTGTATCTACGTAGACAATCTCAAGATTGATGCGCTTCAGAATGGACGAGGTGAGCAATCTTTTCACAAAATCTTATGCTGGGCCTATATCTGACCTAACAGGGCTATATTGTGGTGGATGTATATTTTCATGGAAGATTCAGTTTCAGGACCAAGAAGAGAATTATGAACTGATTCTCAGTGCATCATCAGCAGTCGAAGAAAAGCAATGGAACACCGAGATCCTCAAAATATCTGCCGCTCTGGCTGAAACCGCGCAGCCTCGGACGTGGGAACCGAGAAAACATTCCTTCTTGTCACTCCGACTGGTGCCTCTGGGACATGTTAAATATACAGTGTCGTCATTGGCCCGGAGATCATCAATTTCCACAGCACTTTCACGCCAGTCCGACGTTCAACATGTGGTGATCAAGAAGACGCATTACCCGCGTCACGCTGAAGAGCCGGCCATGCAAGCTGAAGGCGAGATTGAACAGCCTAAGGCGCCCATTGATCGCTCTGCAGTGGTAGTGACTGCTCGTCGAATGGAGCGAATCCGATTGGAGCGATTAATTGCAGATGTCTACACAGCAGACCTGCTTCCGATGCCAGGGATGGTCCTTGGAAGAGGTGATATTTTCCGGCGTGGCTCGATCATGAGACGGCTCAGCCTTCGCCCAGGGTTCACCAAACGGTCGAGCTCGGCCAGTAACCGTCGTTCAATAACAGGATCGACCGAAATCAACCCCGACGAAGACGACAATGGAGAGAACAAATATACAGCAGACAGTGGTGAGATAGGGGATGACAAGGAAGTCGAGGATGAGTCGCCTCGAACGCCTACCACGCCCCGGCGTTCGAGAACATTCCTATTCAAAAACTCACCCAAGAAGCCCACATCATCGGTTTCCTCACCTCGCAGCGAGAAACAACAGAGCCAGGATGGAAGTTCCGAATCATCTCCGTCCTCCAAGAAGTGGTCGTCCCCTAAAAATCTGTTTAGTGCCTTGGCGCCCAAGAAGATCAAAACGACCCGCTCCCAAGTCGAGTGAAGCAGCAAGTATATTGTTAGGTGGGCCAGTGGTGTCCTTTGCGATGGTTCTAGTTCATTCGGAGGAGCATTGGAGTCAAGGGGGGCATTTTTAACTTGGCAACGTAATTGTGGCTTGCACTATAGGTAATTGGAATGCAAGCAGATCTTTTTATCCTCCTTGCACCTTGCCACTTGATCCATGGAGAGTTATCCCCACGTTTGGCGTCACAGCGGATCCGATAGCGGGCAGGGAGCTGCTATGACGTCGACTGATACAATAGTTGGCACTCACCGTGCAACAACAGCAGTAATTTGAGGAGGCTAGAACCGAAAATATGACATGTAATTCTATCCACTGTGGTTCCTTTGGCGTACAATTTAGGCCAAGAGCTTCCGGACACACGAGCAACTCCTCATTTTATTGTTCTGCACCAGCTCATAGTCTGACGTCACCAATCATCATCACCTGAGCTCCCAGACTATTAAACCACCACCTCTACGCTTCGATCTTCTTCTCACCATCCAAATTCCTTTTCATCTTCAAAACCGAACATTCAAATCCCTCAATATGCCCCGTGGAAACGAAGCCGCCCCCAAGATCTTCTACAAGGGTCGCTCTGACGACTTCATCGTCTTCGTTGACGATCTTGACATCCTTCAGAAGTGGAAGAATGACCGGAGCATCGCCCTCGCCAATGTCTTGAATGGTTGGAAAATCTTCCTGACCCATTCGTAAGTGTCTTGAGCTTCTTTCTCTAAGGAACATAGCCTTGGGCAGCCTTGCCATCGTTCGATCACTAACACTCGAATGCAGCCACGGAGCACAAGGTGTTCTTGACACCGCCAGCCAGAGTTCTCTGCAGAACGAGTTCGGTACCACCGATGAGGATGCATGCATCACCAAGATCCTCGAAGGCGGGGAATACCAAGCCTCCGCGGTAAGTGATTCAATTAAAAGCCCACTCTGGGAGTCTTGTATACTAATCCTACTTGCCAGGCACGCGAGCGCGAGGGAATCAAGAACGATTCTATGGGCGGTATGGGTGTTACTCGCTAAATCTAATTACGTCCTCCTGTCGGGGAAGTCGAGTGGCGTGTCTTCATTGATTTGCGCCCTGGGCACCTGCCTCCCCTCCATCCCCACTGCCCCACCTTGACCTCTATCGAGATATCCATATCCCTCGATCGTCCCTTGTATGGCACGTTGGCACATGGTCATTTGGAAAACCTCACGTAACTCTCTCCATCTCCAGCTCTGGAATGGGCTCGGGGGGAGTTTTGCATCTGGGACTCACAGGCTTCTGCACCTGATATCATGAGATAATGAATAATCGGCGACTTGACTCGTCTACAAATAACAATACTTTTGAGACTTCATTCTGAACATTCCAATACGTAGAACAACTCAGTAGATTCCGAACAACCGTGGTCACGTAGCCTGGTAGTATGTAGTGTACTCACAGAGTCTACATACATAGACAACCAGCAAATCAAAGCACCTCAAATCACAACATCCTCATCTTTAACCACCAAGTCCAACCCCCGTTCCGCTCTCCTCTTAACAACCCAACTCCCCAACTCCGCCCAAATAGCCTCCTTCTCTGCAAGCTTCATCCCAGCCGCAAGCCCACTAGTCGTTGTGGCTACAAAGACAGGCGCACCAGCCCACCCGTCAACACGACCCATATTCTCCTCCTCCCCCTGCCATCCATACCGAAACTCCTCCTTCCGGATCCCCCTCCCATGCTTAACTCGCCAAACAGCCTCCCAAATACTCTTTCCAACAAGACAAACCACCTCCGGCCGCTGCGCGGCAACCTTAGCCTCAAGCACGGGAACACCCGCATCCATCTCCGCACGACTGAGCATACTCGCGTCCCGCGTCGGCCGCTCCACGATATTCGTGTTGCCCACACTGTACAGCGCTGGTAGCTTGTATGTGTCTGCGGGGATGTGGCGGATGCTGGTTATTCCGGATGAATACAGCAGTTTCCAGAAGAGATTTGACGGGTGTGCGTAGGCGTACCCAGTTATGCCTGTCATCATCCCTGGGTTCACACCCACGAGCAGGAGAACCAGGTTTGGAGGGATTGTATCGCGGAGGAGAGATTCGGAAGCTGATGGGCCGGGGAGGCTTGAGATTCGGGGTGCGGTGCTGCGCTTGCGCTTCGTTGGGGTTTTAGGCGGGATTGGGGATGGGGGAGTTGTTGGAGTTGAGCGTGAGCGCGAGCGGGTTTTTCGTGTATGGGTTGTTGTGGTCGTCTGTGTGATTGCTTTCCTACGCTTTGGAATGGAGTTGATCTCTTCTGCTTGGCTTTCGGCCTTGAATTTTGGGCGTTGGGATATAGTAGTGGTCGAGGCACTGGTCGCTTCATGCGCGGCGCTGCCGTGATGTAGGAATTGCTGTAGCCTGCCATTGAAACTGGTAGTCTTGTTGACTGGTACATCCTCCGCTGGCTCAAAGTCGAGATCGTCCTCCTCGAGCTTTGGTTGGATTTCTGTAGGGGAAGCCATCTTGTTTGTCTTTTGAAGACTTGAAATGATAATGTCAGTTGCGGCGGTTAGTTCTCGCGTTGTGCGTAACTTTGAATATTCCACATATAAAAGCAGTACAAAGGATTTACAGGGGATTCATCGGGGACTTTGGACTTTCGAAAGTAAATGTAGATCTGTTGTCAAGATGACGAGTGTTGCCTGTGTCCGAGAACAGCATCACGTGTACACGTGTCGGTCTTTCTGTCAGTGTTATCGGTGCGAAAAACAGCAAATTACCAGGCCACAACAAAAACCAAGGTTCCTGTTTATAGCCTAGGGGTTTTGATACTGCGCTGATATTTTCTTAGCGCCTTGTAAACAAGGCATGAATATGAAATGGAGCTTTATTTAGAAGCCATGAAGCGAAGGATTGCTATTGTACCTGTCTAGGTAGTATCGGGGAATCTACCTGGCACACAGATCTTGGGTTTACAGACAGACGAAAAATTAATTGAATCTCCAGATATGCTCATGTTGATTGTTGATCGACAATGCAACTACACTATCCAAATGGATACTACGAACACACATCATGTTGCTCTTTCAAGTCGTCAAGTTCGTGAAATATTAGAATATATACATGATCTGCGTCTGCTGCATCTTATGCCCCAGACCGAACCCATTTGTTATGCTTTCATTAGTGCAAGCCGTTTTGGCAAGGTCCAAGGTTCCGGACAGACGACCTATACATCCGTTTGTTAGCATATGACAGTCTATGCAAAAGATTCGATATTACATACCTCGCCTTCGCTGTAAGCCCAGAAATAGACACCGATTCCAATCAAATAATATATCGCAGGGTCGGTGCCTTGGTAAAGAAGCGCAGCGAGTAAGGCGCTGAGCGGGTAGATGATGAGACGAAATTCAATGCTGCGGTGCACTCCCGTATTGACAAACGGCTTGAGAGGCCATTCCCAGGCTATCCCAACGAGGCCCATGATGAGGTTTAGGATTTGGAGTACGGGAATCGGAGCGACCGCTGCATCAAGGTTCCTGGAGATGAAGTCCCAGAATACCTTGGGCCAGATAAAGCCTTCGATGGCGCTTGCGATCTGGTCTGTTGGAATTCCGTCAGTGGTGATCTCAAGGTACAAATTGTTTAGTGAGCAACTTACAAGCTGCCGCGGTGAGAATGATTAATCGCCCCCAGTGGTTCTTGATGAGCCTGCCCATTTTGTCCAGCTATGGGTGTTTGACTGTAGAAAGTCTATGTGGTGTGGTAGAGCTTCGTCCAGCGAAGGTCTCGGAGGAAATAGAGTCGCTTGGGTGTAAGACAAAGTGCAAAGCTAATTTTGGGCGGCAAGTGTCGCGAGACCCGAATAGTTGCGACAGATACTGTAACAGAATCACTTCATCGTATGATACAGCTTTCCATATAGTTGTTGAAGTTGAATGGCATGGAGGGCGTAGAGAATAGGTGAGAGTCTATCCTCATAGCATGATTGTAGTGATATGGAGAAGAAAAAGCATCATGGTCCGAGTGGCATGCTCGCAGGCAGGACCAGGTATAAGAATCTATACTTAGACTAGCGACCCCTCTGATAACTCAAAACCACAGCAGCATTCATTGCTAGGATGTGATAGACGAGCACTAAAAACGTGAATCGCTGTATGCCCGGGGTTGGTGCTCCGAAAGAAAGTAGGACTAATCCGTGATTCGCACGGATGCAAGTGTAGCAGACCAATTATGAGCGCCAAATTGCCCAAGCCCTTGACAACCCCTCTTCTTCAAATTCTTCAAGAGCCGTCATAGTGGTGTGATTGGCGAGCAGGGGATGTGATGGTGCGGATTCAGGTAGACGCCCGCAAATCAGAGACTGTGGCGTCAGGGCTTGGCGTGTGATGAAATGCAGGCACGCGCAGGGCTTCTCACGTCTCATCCACATTCGAATTGTGCCCTGTGCTCCGTACGGCGTACAGGGTACTTTGTCCTGGACTATTAAGGGTTTCAAATGAGGCCTGGGATGTTGGGTGGCTCGATTCCAAAGTCTTGCATGGTCTTTGTACCAGAGACAGTTTGGAACCTTCCAGATCAGATGACCACAGCAGCCCTGATTCCAACGTCCCAAATGTCACACACCGTCTTTCTGCAATTTCCGCGGGCTTGACCCGTGCCCAGTGTGACTTACAGTTCTACCGCAAAAGTTTCCGTACGACCCGCACCCCATCAAATATATATCTCCCATTTTTGATTTTAGCAAATCGAACCTGCTAACTTCAATTAAATACTATACCCCCAATTTATATAGTAAAATTATATAAAAATATATATTAGATAGGCAATTGGACATAGTATTTAATTTATATTTTTAATATTTAGTATACCACCCATTTGCCTCAATTACTGCCTCAACCCTGCGCCCCATGCTCGAAATCAACCCATCAAAGTAATCCTGGCCTAGCATCGCCCATGCAGCATGAATTAACTCTTCGAAATGATGAATCAGATCTTCTTTGGGACCTTCAAATTTATCAAGGTCCGGATCAAGGCGGTCGATCATTTCTTTAAGTTTTGCCCATGCATGTTCAATAGGGTTCAAATCAGGTGAGTACGGCGGCCACACCATCGTCTCAATTCCATTCTCCCACAACCAATCACGAATAATATGCGCAGTATGGATTGGAGCATTATCGTGCATAAAGATTCGCGTCGAATCCATACAAATTTGGGGTAAATTCTCCTCGAGAACCTCGCGATACGAGAACCTTGAGTATCCGTTGCGTGCTGACTCCGAGTCACGATTCATTTGGAATAAATCGGAGCAACCACCACCGAATATTGCTCCCTAAATCATAATTGAGATATTTTTCGACTTCGAGTATGTGGTAATATGTTCTTTTTTCCATTTTTTATTTCGGTGGTTGATGAAAAAGACCTAACGGTAACGCTTCCCTTTCCCGATTTTAATAGAGCATTCATCGGACTAAACAATCTTCTTCTAGTCATCCCACGTCCAATTTCGTCGCTCCAAAGCCCAATTAAGGCGTAGCTCGGCGTGTTCCGGTTTTAAATATAGTCTTTTTTTCGCTTTCCAATGTCCGTAGCCCGAGGCTTTGACCATTCGAAGAAGGGTATCGTCGGAAGCAGTTAAGCCACTTTGTTCGCGGATTTCTTGATAGGTAATAAAGGGATCGTTTCGAATCAATCGAATAACCATAGAACGGTCATCTGCTGATAAAATCGAGGGGCGACCGACGCGGTTTTGATTATTGCCTTCGTGTCGGAGAGGTTCTTTCTCGAGGGTATACTGAATTGTGGATTTGGATAAACTGAAGTGCTGGGCAATTTTCGCGATTGACAGGCCTAGCTGGGCTTGACCAAAGATCTGACCCCGGAGATAGGGAGATAGCTCATTTCCCTTTATCCTATTAGAATTAATAGGACGTAGAGGGGTCCTGGGAACCATGGTGAATTTTTAAAAACCATGGGTTGGGAGAAGACGCGGGTCAAAAATGTAATTATTCGCGAAAAACGCGGGTGTGGACCCCCGACCGTACGGAAACTTTTGCGGAGGGACTGTACAGTGCCAAGTGGGAATTTCAATTTGGGGAAGAATCGTTGATGGGGGAACAGAGAGCTCGAGTCTAGTTACAATTCTATATTTGGCTCAAACGCTCAAGTGCACCACTCATGATGAATTCTAACGGATTGACAGGCGTTTTGATTGTTCGACTGTCGAATTTTCCATGTGACCAAAGTACGGCGCTTGCAGGAAGTTTACGATAGGCCGTTTCCCAGTAACCTTCTTTCCCTGACCTCATTTAACGCCAACTATCCACCAGCCACCCTGTCACCTAGGGACGTTGGGTCTTTTTGAAGTTCGGCTTGGACGCGTTTAGCTGCACCCCGTTCAGACCCGTCGTTGAATCGTAAAACCGGATCGGGTCAGGTTGGATGAAACAGGGCGCGCTTCCCCTTTCTCTCTAGCCTCGCCTCGTCGCGGGGAACGTGGCACAGTGGCCAGACTCGGGCGCACAATCTTCGGATCATGATTGGTGTGCCTGTGACGAATGGCCTTTAAAAATAGAAAGATCATGAGAGCATTAATTAAATCCCGAGTCCAGGATCACAATCAGCGTTCTTGAAGGCATTGAAAGAACGAGCCAAGCCCGAGAAGGATAACGGTCGAAACCTAGATGCGGCAAAAATTGACGAGGCTGTAAGCGATGAAGTAGATTCTAGCCTCTATACGGAGTAATTGATAAAGTTCCAAAAGCACGGACATTGGATTGTATTGGACTAGCATCCACCGTACTCGGTTGTGCTGTCCGCTGGAAGCGATGTAATTATAGATCCACTCCCCTCCTCCCACCCCTGCAGCTAAAACCACAACACTGGGATTCTCTGCACATCCAACTTTTCCTTCGGTCTTGTCTTTATCCATCTATTGACGTCAATCATGCCTCTGACTGTTTGATTAAACATTTGCACCGTATTGCAGCTCCCCCACTACTCTCCTGTGTTCGAGGGGACACTTGCAGGGGAATCAGTCGGCGAAACGCCAACAGCGCTCGCGACAAGGCTCGCGCAGCCCACCCTTAATTTCTATACATTTTGATCAAGCAAAACTGCAAGCTGGCAGCAGACACTTTGAGCACAGAAGATTTAACGACACTTCTTGCATCCATCAACGAAGGGTGAATTATCCTGGAAGGTCGTGATTTGAGCCAAGTTCATGGAGAAACCACAACGCCGGCGGAACCCAAAGCATTGAGTGTCTTAAGATCACCACTGAAGACTTGCCGTGAAGGGAGCTCAGGAGATCTAGCTTTCTAAAAGAGGTTCAGTGTATATTACCGGGTTGCTGGTCAACCGTCTGCATTTGTCACTCCTTTGATTGAATTATCGCTTCGAATATTTGTCGCTGGTCGACATTCTTGGAACCGCGAAGAAATATGACCGCAAAGAAAGACTCCTGGCTCAAGAGAGCAAACTTAACCGTTTCTAAGGTTTTGTTCCATCTGTTCTTTTGGGGTGTACATATCGGCATTTTTGCTGTAGGATGGTATGTATTCTAACATCCGCTCGGCCAGCAAGTATGGGGCTGACATGCTTATAGGTATTTGCAGGCATCAAACCAAAAGCTCGCGGGCCTAAATGTGCTCAGCTACTCAGTCTGGATATCACGAGGCGCGGGACTTGTGCTTTCAGTCGACTGCACTTTGATCCTTTTGCCTATGTGTCGGAATATCCTCCGATGGCTGAGACCGCAGGTTAGATGGTTACCCCTCGATGAGTCGGCGTGGTTCCATCGCCAAATAGCCTATGCAATACTGGTGTTCACAGCTATCCACACCGCTGCTCACTACGTTAAGTAGGCTACTGTCCCAGTCAGCTTGTTGATGGATTCATCCTAACACATGATAGTTTCTATAACATCGAGAAAGAGCAGATCCGCCCAGAACTGGCTGTCACAATTCATTTCGCCCGCGCAGGTGGTGTCACTGGGCATGTCATGCTCTTGTGCATGATGCTCATGTATACCACCGCGCATCATCGCATTCGCCAGCAAGCATATGAGACCTTCTGGTATGCGCATCATCTTTTTATCCCGTTCATGATGGCCCTCTATACACATGCCACAGGATGCTTTGTGCGCGATACAGTCGACCCTTTTTCTCCTTTCGCAGGAAAACAATTCTGGGACCACTGTCTTGGCTATGAAGGTTGGAGATGGGAGCTGGTGATCGGAGCAGTGTATCTCTTCGAGCGACTCTACAGGGAGATTCGCGCTCGGCGTGTCACGGTGATCACAAAGGTCATCCGTCATCCCTATGGTATGATCCCCGTTGCAAATGTTGGATTCAAAATTGCTAACTGGTGACCGTAGCCGCCATGGAGATACAGTTCCACAAGCCAAGCATGAAGTACAAAGCCGGTCAATGGCTCTTCCTCCAAGTCCCTGATGTTTCCAGTACTCAATGGCATCCATTTACTATCACATCCTGTCCCTTCGATCCTTATCTCAGCGTTCACGTTCGTCAAGTTGGGGATTTTACCCGAGCACTTGGAGATGCACTCGGCTGTGGTCCCGCCCAAGCCAAAGACCTCGAAGGCCTCGACCCTAACGGTATGTACGAGGTTGCATTGCAAAACGGACAGACGATGCCTGCGATCCGCGTGGACGGGCCGTATGGTGCACCCGCAGAAGATGTATTTGAAAACGAAATCGCTGTTCTCATCGGCACTGGTATCGGTGTCACACCCTGGGCATCCATCCTCAAGAATATCTGGCATCTCCGTTCAAGTCCGAACCCTCCTCGCCGATTGCGACGTGTCGAGTTTATCTGGGTCTGCAAGGATACCTCTTCTTTTGAGTGGTTCCAAGCCCTACTGTCCTCTCTCGAAGCGCAATCTGCAAATGCCGCTGTCCATGAGGGAAACACCGAGTTCTTACGCATCCACACCTACCTCACACAGCGGTTGGATGCTGATACCGCGGCAAACATCTACCTCAACTCCGTCGGTCAGGCACTTGATCCTCTCACCGAACTGAAGAGTCGGACGAACTTTGGTCGCCCAGATTTCAAGCGCCTTTTCACAGCTATGCGTATTGGCTTGCTGAACCAGTCTTACATGACGGGCTTGCAAAATTCTTCCACCACCGAGATTGGTGTGTACTTCTGTGGACCTAATACTGCCGCGATGCAAATAAGCGATGCGGCCAAGTCTTCGTCCACCAAAGACGTTCGCTTCAAGTTCTGGAAGGAACACTTCTAGTCTTGTTGCTCGTGTCTTTCTGCTTTTCTCTTTTTATCATATACGAATGATACGAGTCACGAATTTCTCTTTTTAGTATCACTTTCCCGTCGTCTCTTGGGATGTTCGAGTTCGACTTCTGCGCTGGATTTGATATATTGAAGCGATGCATGAAACCTTCTGCCCATGGCGGGTTGATTGAGCGACAGAAGCGATTTCACCATAGGTGGATACCAGTGCAAACGCTGGACTGTAGGAATATGGGGGCCATAGAACTGACAATGTTGGAATAATAATTTTATTGACTTTTGATATGATTTACTTTTCTTGGTGAAAGGTCACTGTAGCTATCCAGTGGTAAATAGAGCCTTCCCATGTGAACTCCCACCCCCTCCCCCAATTTGGAGATAGACCCCCGTCAATCGCATGACTCGCAACCAGCATTCCCGTCTGATACAGTCCCTTTGCTCAAACAAACCAAACTCCCTGCCTGAGGCCTCTGATACTGTTCACTTTAAAGTTTGCCAAGACCGTTGAGCCGCACTTCCCTCCGCATCCACTCTTCTACATACAGCGCATCGCATCAACTCCATCTCTTTTCTATGTTCTCCACTAAACTCAGCTTTGATCATTCAAGAATTTGAAATTATCATGCTTGAGACTGATACCTTGATGAGAGCTGAGCCTCTGCCAGTCGGCTCATTTGAAAAGCCCTGGGATGAATCTTGTGGACGGGTAGTCGGCCCTGTCCCACAGACGTCCACCCAGCACGATCCTGATTTTGACACCGAACCTGTTATCTGCTGCGGTACCTCTTCTGGAAATAAATCAAAGCCATTGCCTGCCTCACGTCCCAACACATCGCATACGATCTCTGATGATTCCTCCGGTGGCTCTTGTGGTAGCCCCTGCTCTTCCCACAGGAGCTGCAACACTTCTTCTCCCGGCAGATATGACATATCATCTAAACACAACTCTGACACCAAGTCTCACACCTTGTGTGACGCTGCCCGGGTGGAGAAATTCAACACGCTCTGTCGCTCCAGCCCTAGCCACGAAGAGCCCAGGACTACATCGACCACAGCCACCGATCATTCCCATGTGTCCGTTACTCAGGAGACCCTTGAAACCTTGCCCATGCCAGAGTCTCATACCTCTATTGATAGCTGCAAAACGTCCAGTCAATGTGACTGCGACCCTGAACCCGCAACCGTCGTTTCGTGTGATATGTCTTCTATCGACGATTCAAACACCCTCGATGATGTCGACTCGACCGATAAAAGGCCCAAAGTAAAATCTAGTACGGGTTCCGTTGACCTCTCCGATGGCTTCTCTCCGATGGCCGCCAAGGTCTTTTCGGATGGAGTACCTGACAGCTGCTCCCTTGGCACCTGCGTCTCATCAGTCGAGAACGACTCTGAGTCTGACCCAGAAGAAGAAAGACATCCTATGGGCTCCCAAAATGAGGCGGCGTATGCTTCTCCTATTAGAGATGGCCAGCGCGTTCGGACTAGCTGTGATAGCATCGATGACACAGGCCGGTGGCATGTTGATCCAGATGGGTTCATTAACGAGAAGAATCGTGCCGGAGGTCCGTATCTCTGTTCACTGCCCGTCAAAATGCTTGGGCTTAACGGTGTTGATCCTTTATGGACAATGTTCCAAAACTTCAAGCTCAACGGGATGATCATTTCAACTCTTACCCACTACAAAATCAATGCAATCTCAATGAAGATCAAGAAATGCCAATATGATTTTGATCCTGAGGTTCAGCGCATGCCGAATTTGCTCATTACTGCAACTCGTGATAAGTTCAGCGACGATTGGGTGAACGCCTGCCGTGAAGTCTGGAAACATCTATCCGACAACGAGCTCGGTCACGTCAATGTCGAAATTGCAGACCCAGCTGTTCACAGTCTGCGCCCATTTCGAGTGTGGACTATAGGATTATGCGAGCCTCTTTACTCGGTTTATCATGATGTGACGAGCAGAATCTCTACGGAGGTGGATCTTACGGGATTTCTTTCCATGTCAGGCCTACGCGTAGGCCATAGCCCGAAACGGAAGGACAGCGAGCCTTTCATACTGATCAATGTGAAGTATCAGAGCAACAAAGACTGGCGTGGTGTACGTGAACAGATTGTATCTATTCTGGATGACTTCAATGTTCCAATGGTGGGTGTTCTCATTCTGAAAGGTAGGATGTGGGGAGGACGTTCGGGTCTTAAAGGTGAATAACTGGACCAATCGCACTGGCCTAAGTTATAACGTCGAATATATACATGCGTGCGACTAAGTGAGCGATTAGTGGTGGAGACTAGCACGCCATATCCTCGCCAACTGAGCGAAGGCTTAGAAATCGCAGATTAGAAATAGCAGACCTACGAGCGGGGTATATAACGGCGTCGTTTATTCCAAAATACCTGCATCAACTCTTCGAAAACATCTGCAGACACAACCAGAATTCAAAAAAACCCCACAATGACAGACTCAAAACCCAACCGCCAGCTGCACCTCACAGCCTTCATGAGACCTGTGTCGCTGCACACGGGTGCATGGCGATATCCAGGCTCATACCCTGATGCCAACTTCAATTTTAAACATATCGCTAAATTTGCCCAGAAGCTCGAGGCCGCGAAGTTCGATGCCTTCTTCATGGCCGATCATCTGGCCGTGCTGAATATGCCCGTCGAGGCTCTCAAGCGCAGTCACACAGTCACTTCATTCGAGCCTTTCACTCTGCTCTCTGCTCTCTCCGCCGTGACGGAGAAGATTGGCCTCGCTGCAACTGCAAGTACAACATATGATGCGCCGTACCATGTGGCCCGGCGATTTGCCAGTTTAGATCATCTGAGTGGCGGCCGAGCAGCGTGGAACATCGTCACTACCGGGAACCCGGAGTCGAGTCACAATTTCGGCTTCGATGAGCATTTGGCCCATGGTGATCGTTATAAGCGTGCTCGTGAATTTTATGAAGTTGTGACGGGGCTTTGGGACAGCTTTGCCGATGATGCTTTTACCCGTGAGGTGGAGACAGGAGAGTATTTTGATCCTGCACGGTTGCATGTGTTGAATCATACCGGTGATGAGTTGAAAGTGCGCGGACCGTTGAATATTGCTCGGCCGCCTCAGGGATGGCCGGTCATTGTCCAGGCCGGACAAAGTGAGCCGGGACGACAGCTGGCGGCTGAAACTGCCGAGGTGGTCTTTTGCAGCCCGAAGGATATTGATGCTGCCAAGGCACTGTATGCGGATATCAAGGGACGAGTGGAGAAGGCGGGTCGGAAGCGGGATCAGTTGAAGATCTTGCCTGCGGCCATGATTATTGTTGGGGAGAGCAAGCAAGATGCGCAGGAGAAGAGGCTCAAATTGGATAGCCTGGTGCACTATGATAGTGCCATTGCTTCCTTGTCGATCTCGCTTGGAGTGGATGTCAGTCATCTTGATCCGGATAGTCTGTTGCCGGAAGATTTGCCCGAGTCGAATGCCAGCAAGACGGCGAGGGAGGCTGTCGAAAAGCTGGCCAAGCAAGAGGGACTAACAATCCGCCAGCTTGCACAACGGTATGGTGGATATTCGGGACTGGCGTTCCTTGGCTCGCCCAGCGACATCGCCGACGAGATGGAGATTTGGTTGCGTGAAGAGGCTTCAGATGGTTTCACGTGCACTTTCCCCTTCTTGCCTCAGGGTCTGGAGGAGGTGACAGACAATTTGATTCCGGAACTCCAGCGAAGGGGCCTTTTCCGCAATGAGTATACGGGCTCAACCCTGCGTGAACATTTTGGCCTGGCCAGACCTGAGAACCGATTCTTCAGCGAGACATGATAGCCATATATATTACAATGTACTGAGGTATTTTCTTTAGTCGGGTGGGGGAAGTTCCTCCACAGTTCCCAAAAGCTATATCCATTTAGTATCCCTCGTCATACTTCGACTAAAGAGGAAGTGAGTGCCAATTCTTGCGAGTCCTGAGAACGTATATCAGAAGCACACGCATACCTTTCTTTCGACTTCGGTATCAACGGAACTCGGGTCCCAGCTTGTGCGCAAAGTGCGAAGGGTCTAGGCTACCAAGGTCAGAATATACCGATCTATGATGCATTACATTCCTGGGAGTTTATATTAGAAATCCAGGGATTTAACCCCGGTGCTGCTAGGGCACTAAGCCCCATCCTCCTTATTCTCCAATCGATGATCAACTGGGGATATGCATATATACCCCAGCTTCGGCAGCTCATCCACTGGGATGTCACGTTAAGGATCGAAACCATGTAGAAAGTGCGCTCGATGGAGGTGTGTAGAGTGGCCCGCGCAAAGGTAGGCAGGTCGATGAACGGGATAAAGTAGGCCATAAACATGAGGAACGAGGTCGGATTAAAACCGGGAATTTGTGAGTTGGAGGACCATCTGATGATTATAAACAGAGAACATTGATAATATGACTTATATCGAGGTGATATAGCGAATATATATAGTATAGGATTTCGTTTGAAGATAATCTACAACATATAGCGAACAGTTTCACTTGCCTTTAAGACTTTCTGATTCTCGCACCGATGCAGTTAGCAAGGCCTTTTGTTAAGCTGAGAACAACATATATGTCACCTTTAAATAAGATATTTAAGAGGGAGTTCAAGTGAAAGTGAATTTGAAACGACTACGTTTTACATAAGGCGCATGTACGACGAAACCCTCACTTTGATGTCACTACAACTACTGAATTGGAGCACCGAAAGTTTCAATTCTCAATTGAAATTGACATTAATCTTACATTCAGGTGAAGGGGATCTGAGTTTACCCCCTTCACCTGTTGATTTATAGCCCCCCCACTTCCCTCCCCTTTCCTCCACGGTGAATAGATCGCAACTGAGGTGTCTTACGACACCTCACTCTCCTCGCCCTGGTGGGCCCAGAAGTCCTCCACAGGGTAGTGGACCCGGAGTCCCCGACGACGCATCTCGACATACAGAGGTCGAAGCTCTGTAGTAGTGAACCCTGCAGGGTTCACTTCCGCCTTGGTGGGCAGGCGGCGGGTCAGATCAGCCCGGAGGTGCTCAAACGCGAGTAAGAACACCTCCTTCGACCAGGGGCAGGCGCGCACGGCCCGGAAGTAAACTTCGCGGGCGCGGCGGACACTGCACTCCCCGTAGAGCTCGAAGAGCAAGTACAGCTTCCAGAGCGTGACGTTGCTCCTGGCGGCTGTCGAGCTTGCGAGCTCGAAGGGGCTGGTCTTGGCTGGGATCATCGCGTCGATGATCGCCCGCTCAAAGGCACCTCGGATCGAGTGCGCAGTTGACCCCGTGATGAGAGGACGACCCAGTTCACTGTAGATGTTGAACAAATGGGTCGTGACGGGTGCGCGGTACATCGATCCGGGCTTGAGACCTTGAGCGGATCTGACCCTTGTTCCGAGAGTGACGTCGAAGATGTCACGGGTCCGATGGGTGAGCTGCAACCGAGCGTCATTCCATTTGAATAGCGACAGGAACATGGTGTTGTGAGGGTATCGGTCGATACTATCCAACAGCACCTTGCGGACGTCGGCGGGCTTGAACTGGCCACTTTGGCTAGTCACATAGTGGTACATGAGCCTAGCTCGGGCTTGGTGCACCAGCTCGCGACCGAAAGCCTTGTTGTCACGTTGTGTCTTGAGCGTATTCTCAATGGTTTGAATAGCTGTGTCATACACCTCAAGGACTCTCTGCAGTGAGGCACCCATCAGATAGCGAGTGAGAGCATAGCAATCAGTGTACTTTGTGTAAGCCTGGAGTTTCCCAAACTCCAGGGCATCTTCCTGTGCGGAAGCCAAGAACTATGAATGGTTAGCGTCAGATTCGTCGAGATTGATGAATGGAAACTCACGCGTTTGAGCCTGATCACATTGGTGTTGTTGAACTCAAAGTCGTCGGCTGTATCGTAGGCCAGAGTCTGAACTCTTTTGTACGGCATGGCCTGCAACAGGTAGGATGCTCGCTCATTTTGCCCGTCATTGAGCAATTCCCAGATCCATGAATTCCACAGAAGTACAGAGTCAATGAGCTCGCAGGTGTCGAAACTCCGGCTCATTGTCAACGCAGTTGACCACACCTTGTAAGCCATCTCATGATCGCCAATTCGCCAATGCGTGAGCGCAACAGCGTTATAAAGTCTTAGATCTGACGAGCGATCTTTCAACATTAGCTTTCCGTATCTTTTGCCCAGATTATTGTTACACGCAAAAGACAATGCAATAGCGTACTCAGCCAAGTAGCTGTCAGTGAAAGTTTCGACAAAAGCATAGAGAGTCAAGAGGACAAAATCGGAATTGATGATGGAGGACTTTTGGGAAGTGGTTGCTGCCCACTTGGTGAAAGCGGAGAACCAATGCTGTGGATCAGCGAAAAGTGTGTCTGTGGTATGGATGAAGGTATGGTGAGGGAATGAAAACGGTTCAATGGTGGTCGTCGCGCAGTATTGATGAAAATTGATCCAGCCTGCAATTGTACTTTGAGGATCATCCATGTATTCGTTCCGTAGGAAGCTGTCGCCGGCCCATAGTCGACTGGTTCGCATATTGGCGGGAAACGTCAACTGAGGCAAGTGACAGAACTGCAAAAATCCATCAACCAGATAGCCTAAGCCATCTGTTAAATCCCAGAAGTATACCAGTATCTGTGTGCAATCTTCAAGAAGCACCACTCGATAAGCCTCATCCTCCTTGGATTCATCGAAAGAATGAGACGGCATGCGATGTTTGATCATCCTTTCTCTTTCAGCCGAGGCCCAGCTTCCGAACAAATTAGGTAGATCTGCCTCAAGACTGTAGACTTGCCTGTTGGGAGGAGTACGGGCACCTGACTCGCGGTTCCAGGGCTGCCAGTTGGACTCTCCAATCTTCGTGTACTCAGGCACCCAGAAGCTTTTGAATTCTTCCAGGGCAAGCTTTTTATTAGTCGAGAAACTATCGGGTCGGAAGATCACGAATTCCAACACTGCTTGCCAAAGACCGACAGCCAGCTCCATGTGTCCAGATTCCCGGAGAAACAGGGTCAAACGCAGCAGCAAGTATGCTCGAATATGAGCTTTATGTGGACCGAAGCCGACGTTTGAATGGAGTTTCAAGCAGTAGACATAAGACTTAAAGCAGGAGTCAAATTGGAAATCTTGGGCATCAGTCTGACAGTAGTCAAGATACTCAATCCACAGATTGATGAACTCAGAGTGGTAGCAGAGGACTTCTTCCCATTCACGTGTAAGTTTTGGGACATCCCAGACTTTCGCACCCTCTTCCATGCGACGCAATACGAAGTATTCGCGATCGGGATTTTCCGGGTTTGCCTTGATGGCTTTGTCATAAACATAAAGCTTATCCCTCGCCACGAGTTGTTGTTCCGCATGGCTGAGAGGACGGTCATCGTATTTGGCACCAAGCGCGGCAAGTTCTTGGTGCTCGGCAAGAAGAAGCCATGACCTGAGATCGTGAGGATTTTCCGCGACTGCGCGATGCAGCTCAGCATTGCGGTGCAGGATCTTAGCTTCAGCAACAATGCGAGACGCTTTGTCTCCATTTGAACTCTCAGTGGTAGCTTCCTCTTCGGTCATGCCGATGTTACAGATCGAGAGATAGGGGTTTTGTTCATCATCAGGGTTAGCACTTGCCGCAACGCCAGATTGAGGCGGGGCTGCTGTGGAGATGAAGTCCGGCGCATGTTCGAAGTCTGCTGCTGTGTCCACGCTGTTGCCGGGATGGACACGAATGGGAACATCTCTGGACCAAGGAGCCGGAGCCTTAGCGGAAAGAGGCTTAGGCTTGATGGTCGAGGCTGCGCTGCTAGGCAGAAGAAGAAGAGAGTCGGCATGTCGCGTTTCGTATTCAATACGGTAGTCTGGAAGTCCAAGTACAGAGCCCGATCCGCTGCGACGATACGTAGGAGCCTCGTATTTATCGACGCCGTAACGGGTAACCCCACGATCACCTTTGATGTCGACGACAAACATGGCGATCTCACCTTCCTCATTTGCGGGTTTTACATCGCTTCTTCTTTCATCACCTGTGCGACCCTTTCTTTCCTCATCTACCGCCTCATTATTACCGCCATCTCGGCGGCTTCTGCTAGGGCGGGGAATGCGCGGAGATCCATGCTGGTCTGCGCGCCGGTGAGGGCGCGGGCGATGCCGGCGAGTTTCAGGTTCGCTAGTGGCAGGGATCTGAGAGGTATTGGGAGCAGGTGGATTGAAACTGGAGAATCGCGGAGCACCCTGTATTACTGGTCAGACTGTGCTTTATATCTACAGGATGGAAATCGTGGCTAACTGACCTGTGACCCAGGTGAGTCCATCGTGATGACTCGGTGTTTCTTATCGAGTCGCGCCGGGATCTGATAACCCGGAGGAACAATTATCCAGGGCGGTCAAGGCGACTGGCAGAAAAAAAAAAGTCAACCGTTTGCTTGCGGCGGAACATTAAACAAAGCCTAGACTTACTTCAAATTGCTTGAACCGCTTGCCTTAGGTTCTTAGGAAAAAGGAAAGACTGGTGTCGAGAGTCTTAGGGATATGGGTCACTGTCGAATTGTGTGAGAAGCAGTACAAAACAACAAGAAAAGCTCGCCGAACAGCCCGCCGAAAGAGACTTCGCTATGGCTTCGTCTCTCGCCGCGCAGCTGTCGCAAATTGCGGCCAAGTCGACACATGAGCTTGATCTCAAAGCGCAAAGGGTGTTACACTCACAGTCACTTATTTTCGACAAAAAGGTCGCCAGCACTCAAGACTTTGATTCAATCTATGATATTTGTTATGACGGATTCCGGGAATTGTGCTCGTTGGACCCCCGGTTCACGGAGTTTGATCGCACGATCTTCAGCGAGCAGAGCAAGGCGGAGGACCGCAGCCAGATGAACTCACAGCAAAACAAGGAGTTGGATCAAGTGGTTGAAGCTTTCTTAGCCTTGGTTGGCGGCAGACTGCAGCTGAGTCCTGCGGTCAAAGCTGTAGACTGGCTAGTGAGAAGGTTCAGGTAAGAGACGTCCACAATGGGAGATGAAGGATGGGTGGTGGGAGATGCGAGAAGAAGATCGTGAGATTGCGAGAAGAGGTGGCTAACGATCATCGCAGAGTTCACGAGTTCAATACGACTGCCGTATTGTTGACGTTTTTGCCGTACCATACGACACCACTCTTTCTAAACCTTCTCTCGATCCTTCCGGAACGTCTTACGCCTACATTCAAAGTACTAACCCCATACAAGAATGGTCTCATTAATCCGCCAAGGCACCCGCTTGTTCACAGTGCGGCGACGAACAAAGCCTTCTTTTCCGAATTAAATAACTACGTTCTGGAGGTATGCAGGCAACAAGCTCAAAGCCATGCATTGCTCGCCTTCTGGGCTGGAGTTGTTACAGAGGCTATTGCCACAATGTTAGATGGCGCCCGCTCAGGCAGAAGGGAGGCTGAGAAGCAAAAACATGAAGATATCCTTTTACGGGTATTGCCAGTGCTCAGTGCTGCTTTCACCATGAAAAATGTCTCGGAATTGATTGTTGGTTGCTACATGATTTGTGTAGTATTGGCACAGAAAGCATTCCTCTCGAACGAAGTCATTGATGGTCTTATGGAGAGTGTCGTGAGCTCTTGGACAGAAGATACAAAAACGTCCGGCCTCATTTGCTTATCAGTTCTTGCCCAACAAAAGCCTGCAGTTACAATTCCCAGGAAGGTTTTCAAGGGCATCTTGCGCCTCGACAGCCCTATCGGTCAACTTTCGGAAATCGCTACGCAATATCAGATATCTAATCTGTTGCTTGGGATCATTGCTGGCTGTTTGGCCGATCTTGATAAGCAGGACAATTCCCGTCTTATCGTTTTGGCATCTATTTTTGAACGCAACATGCTTGGTCAGAGTGAGATTGGCAAGGCCATGAGCCTGGTTCTGGAAGCAGCATCAAACGCAGATGAGACCCGCAGAATGTCTTTGGACGCCCAAACCCAGCTCGCCGAGTTGGTCCAAGCATTCAACCGCTCGGAAAACTTACAGCCCATTTTCCAGAACATTTTGAATGGATCATCGTTCAACATCTCGGCACTCGAACACAATCTTCAAACTGTTGTTGAGGCTCCCGTCTCGGTACCTGAAATCGAAGATGTGGACATGGCCGACGCAGACGAACAGCCTGAGTTGGATGCCTTCACTCCAGCTCTGGAGTCTTTGGCCAAGGAGAAGTTGTTCCCATCCTCATTCCTTTCCAAACAGTCTATCATCGAATTTGATAACCTAGTACGGGTCTTTGCGTTGGCTGTGGATTCAGAGGAAAACCTCGAGCTGTTCACCAACCTACCGATTTTGGGCAAATCTCAGGCGACCAAGACTGCTCAATACTTGTCGTTCTTCATCAGAGTCGTTGCTGGTCACTACCCCATTGGCACAAAGATTGCTGCTTTGAACGTTATATCGTCTGTGCTCTCATCTGCAACCGCAGAATTTGATCCTCAGGCACTGCTTCCCTTCCTGTTTGTTGCCCTCTCCGATTCGTCCGAGCGGATTCGTCGTGAGACTGCTGGTGTCTTGGCCATTATTGGATCTTTGTACAAGAACTCCAAGGCCAGTGACAGCTCGAAGCCATGGGCTCACGACACTATCTATGGCCAGGGCAAGCATTCCGCAGGCGCTGCATGGCTCTCAGTTAAGGATTCGCACAAGGTTCTGGAGCGCGCTTTGCTCCCAGAGTTGGAGGAGTCTATTCTTGACTCTAGCCATGTCGGCAGGACGGTGGAAGCTACCCTCCGAGGCAATGTTCTGTCCGAGGCCTCTGGTGCATCTGAGCTCAAGAAGTCTCTTCGTCTCAGTCTTTTCACCTTCCTCTGCTCTCATGTCGTGAAGATGCCTGTGTTTGCACCTAAAATTGCCTTGCTCAAGCTGATCAACAGCGTTGAGAAGGTTTCTACTGCAACCCTCACTAGTGAACTCCTTCCGGTCCTCGAGGACTGGCGTCGCTTGAGTGCTAAGGAAGTCGAAGATATTTGTGCCAAGGAGCGCATCGTGGCAGCTGAGACAGAGCATCTGATCGCTGCTATTGTCACATCTAAGGATAAGGACGCCTTCGATGTCCTTCTCTCCAATGTTAGCTCTGGCGATTCCCTGCGCCCGGCCTTTGTCGCAGCTTGCTTTGGCCAAATCAAGCACATTTGGGCGAAGATCCCCGAAGACCGACAGCTGGCCGCATCCGAGAAATTGCTCGATATCTCTCTTGGTGACTCCGTCAACGCTTCCTTGCCCAACAACTGCCGAGATGTTCTTCGTACTGTCGAGCTTTCTGGCGCTGTTCTCGAGCAGTTTGTTCAGAAGATCCCTGTGTCTATCACTGATGTCGAGTCTGTTGGCCCTGCACCGAAGCGAAGACGTACAAGCCAAAGTAACATGATTGCCATGACTGTCAAGGACGAGGCAGAGCTTAGCAAGCTGATGGACAAGATGACTTTCATCCTGGAGATTGTGGACAGCTCTTCTCCAGAAACCCACCCTCAGCTGGCGGATGGACTGTTCCAGACACTCGCTGCTCTTCACCACTTCAAGTCTCAGATCCAGTCTGGCATGAGCTACCTCCTCAGCCTGACCTTGGGAAGTCTCTTGGCTATTGTGAACAAGTCCAAGGGATCTGTGAAGCCACTGTTTGACACATCTGTCATTAGGGCCGACCTAGTGGTGGACTGTGTGCGAACAACAGACAGCCCGCAAGTTCAAAATGGGGCTCTTCTCCTCGTGGGAAGCTTGTCTGTTATTGCACCCGAACTAGTCCTCCACAGTGTCATGCCCATTTTCACGTTCATGGGCACCACCGTGCTGCGCAAGGATGATGACTACTCTGTGTCCGTCATTGATCAAACTATCGACCAAGTTGTTCCTGCTCTCATTCAGTCTCTGCGTAACCAAAAGAGAGATGTTGTTTCCGGAACTTCTGAGTTGCTTCTCAGTTTCACTGCGGCCTTTGAGCATATTCCCTCGCACCGTCGCCTGAGACTTTTCCATGCCTTGATCAGCAAGCTTGGAACACAAGATTTCTTGTTCGCTGTTCTGGCAATGCTCGCCAACCGATACTCTACTGACAAGGATGTTCTTACATTGATGACTGGTCTGGTCTCGGATACTACTCCCGTTGTGGAGCTTACCACATACAGCAAGTACCTTAACTTGGTCAGTGATTCCCTCAAGGCCAAGCCAGGTATCTCGCAGGTTCTTCTTGGAATTGGCAGCGACGATGGGCGTGATTCCCAGAGCATTTGCGTCGACCTCCTGCGTGACCTGGCCCACTTGTTCAAGCACTCTTCTCTCAAGTCCAAGCTTGAGACAGCCTTCGAGTCCGAGGACGCGGTTGCTGATCAGTCCCGCGCTTGCTTCTCTCGCGTCCTTGAGCAGGTTCTCAGCATTGGCGAGGCCGTGCAGACCATGAAGCCCGTCAACCAGGCTTGTGGCGAGGTCCTTGGTGCTCTGTTCAGCACTCTGTCTCTCGTCGACTTCCTGGATACTATTGAGGTTCTCCTCCAAGGTCCCAATGACGAACTCCGCCGCAAGGTTCTTCGTCTGCTTGAGACTCGCCTCCGCCAGACTCCGGAACGCGATAACCTCTCGCAGATCCGGGTTCTCGACTTCTTGCCTACGTTGGTTAACATTGTGGAGTCGTCTCCGGACATTCTACTCAAGCATGCCGCAGTTTCGTGCATTGACCGCATTACCGACAAATACGGCCGCAAGGACCCCTCTAAGGTCATTGCTGCTGCTAGAGTCGTTGCTAGTGAATCTTGTCTCGGCCAGTCCGATGATCGCATTCGCTACATGGGTATCTTGTGTCTGGCCTCTATGGCCGAGGTGCTCGGTCAAGCCATGATTCCTGCCCTTCCAGACACACTCAAGCGTTCTTTGGAACTACTTGAGTTGAGCCTGGTCCCTGGCAAGGAGAACTCGCGCCTTCACGACGCCGTATACACACTCTTCTCGGCCCTCTTTGTCCACCTGCCATTCATGATCTCAGCTGGTCATCTGGACAAGGTCCTCGTCCTGTCCTTCAAGTCTGCTAATGCGGACATTGAAGAGAGCAGTGATGAAAGCCGTCAAGAATCTCTCCGGCTGTTGGCTCGCAAGGTGGACGTTGCTGCCACTCTTGGCGCTGTCGACCGCAACTGGCAGCACGCCGTCGAGGCTGGCCCAATCGCTGTCAATGAGATTTTGGAAGTGGTCACAATCGCCGTTGACAAGCACCCCAAGTCAACCATTGCCAAGAACATCGCCGTTCTCACGAAGATTCTCTTCAAGTCCTTCGACCTTCGCCGTGAGCAGATTGCTCTTGGGGACAAGGCTGTCTTCGAATCGTCCGCTATTGACGAGGCTGAAGCCGCGCTCAACAACGTCACAATCAAGATGATCTACAAGCTGAATGACAGCACTTTCCGCCCCATCTTCCTCAAGTTCGTCGAATGGGCCACCACTGGTGTCTCTAAGAAGGATGAAGAGGGTCAGATCTCGCGTCTCACCACTTTCTACAAGTTCCTTGAGGTTTTCTTCGGTACTTTACAGGTATGTCATTTTGCAATCCTTTACGCCCCTGTTCCTCCTGCTAACAACCCTTCCAGTCCATCGTCACTGGGTACTCCAGCTACATCTTGGAGAACGTCGTCAGTGTTTTAGGCTCATGCGGTCCCTCCAAGGCTCAGAAGTCCCTCTGGTTGGCAGCTCTTCGCATGCTCCGCAAGTCCTTCGAGCATGATCAGGATGGTATGTTTTCCCACAGTCCTAATCCATATGAATATTCCGACTAACATGCGCTTCAGAATTCTGGCAAAGCCCATCCCACCTCGCCAGCATTTCCGGTCCCCTGATCGCCCAGCTTGGCCACGCTACCACCACCACGACCTCGAACATGGTCATTGCTGACGTCGTTCCCACAATCACAGAGCTGGCCATCGCCGCCGACTCCACTGATAACCACAAGGAGCTGAACTCGGCTTTGATGAAGTACCTCCGTCCTTCCTCTGCACCCAACGCTCGCTCTGCTGGTGGTGACAGCCCCCACACCCGTCTCGCAGCCCTGAAGACCGAGCAGGCCCTCACGGCGCAATTGGGTGAGGAGTGGCTGGCTCTCCTGCCTGAGATGCTGCCTTACATCAGTGAGCTTATGGAAGATGAGGATGAGAGTGTGGAGAGAGAAGTTCGCAAATGGGTTAAGCAGATCGAGAAGGTGCTCGGTGAGCGTCTCGATGATATGTTGACTTAGAACTTCTATTATGATCGTGTACAAAATTTGCATTTTCTTGGCGTCCATAGTACAGGTCCCGGGCCTTACAGTGATCTACGGATAGTCTGTGCTAAAATTTGATTCTAATTCCTTTGTCGGCTCTGTATGATGGATTACAACCTAGATGCATGCAGGCAAACCTTTCAATGCCCTTGCAGTTTACACAAACTCGAGGCTTCAGACGTAAGAGACAGTAGAGTTGGCAAATTGCATTTCGTCCACTGATGGCCATATAGCACCAATGTTTCAGTCACCGTGGTGGCTGCCAGGTGAAATCCCAGTCTAGACTCTTGATAACTCTTGACACGGAGATAAATTGCGAGACACGCTCCCACTCGCCATCACCCTTCCCCAGTCCAAAGAAAATGTCCTTAAACGGGCGACAATTCTCCCGGGCGACGTCGAGGTCTTTGGGAGCAACCATCCCATCCATCGGTGAAACAGCCTGATCACAAGACAATGTCAGCATGTGGAGGTAGATACCTAGGCCTGTATCTGACTTTCGTGCCACTATATAGTATTAGCAAACAGTTCCAATGTGCAAGATGTGAAGTCTTGCATCTCTCTATGAGAACCCGGTATTAGAATGTTCCTAGATATCGCAGAACAAGGTTATATACAACAGTCCAGGGCCTCACTCCCCAAAAAGGGGACAAAGGCGATGATAATGGGTGCTGTGTTGGACCTTCCCGATTGGGAAGTATGTTTGCCCTGGTTCCCTTAAGTAAAAGGACAGCACCCTCTCTGTTTGACGGCTCCGACCGGTGGCTGTGTGGTTGTCGTGGCTTAAACGTCCTGCTCTTCCTTAAAAGGGTATGTCCTGCCTAAAAGGGACTGTCCCAACATGGGACTGGTGCCAGATTCGATTTGCGCAGTCTTCTACCGAGAAAGGACTGCTAGGAGTCTATCGTCCCCCATCTTTTTTTTGTAGATTCAATTGTTATAAATGTTCTGCAGCCCATGTCTGCCTTTTTTTATCATCAAAGTTGCTGCTACGCACTGTACCAAGCGGAAATGTATTCATAACGCTACTTGAAGACTACAAGAGGCTATAGGAGGATTTACAAGAGCATAGTGACAGTGTGTCAAGAGAAGAGATCTTCTTTATCAAAACTAGCTAAGAGACTTGCTTGGTTTCGCCACGATGGCTACTCATCCCGATCACCACGTAGAGGTGCAAGTCATGATCAGGTGTTGCATACAGGCCCCATGCAACTGGGTCAGACTCCTAAAGCGCAAGGTGTAATGAAGGAATGGGGTCAAGGATCGGAGGAGGACAAGGATAACCAGGAAGAAGGACCGTATCCACGCTCAAAGAACCTTGGAAGTGTCCGTGAACTAAGGCGCGCTTCGTGTCGAGACCAACCCCTTTGAGATCCCTGTCCCCTAGGGGAAAAAGTGGGAAACCCTCAGATTGCTCTTCATTTGGGGCCGGGCAAGTTAGTGGCGGGCAGTGAAGGAGTGGGGTCAAGGCTTGGAGAGGTGACAGTGGAATCCGCAGGCAGGACTGGCTGTATCCGCAGCGGCCGAAGGAGTGTCTACCCCGTGTGTTGAACAGCGAGGCACTTGCACAGCCCGTTCTCTCCTTGGCATGCTTCGTGACTAACCTTTCCCGCGGCACATCAACAGTCCCTAGAAGGATACAAAGTGGGAAACATCCTCAGAGAGCACTCGTCATAGGCGCCAGGCAGATAAGTGACCGGAGGAATTAGGTATGGGTAGAAAGATGAGAAAGGAAAGGAAGGGGTTGGGAATACATGCAAAAACGGAGTGGAGGGCAGGGGAGTGGAGAAGGAAGAAAAGAAGAAGAAAGTAGGGGAAGGAGAGGGTATTTATATCCTGGGGAAGGCTGAAGGCGACGACGAGGTCCCAGGGTGGGTGACGAGTTCCTTCCCCAAAAGGAAGGAACATGACTCTGCGAGTACCCACATGTAGACATACATGATTTACCTACTTAAGTCTAGGCTGTTACATGAATATGTACATGTAGGTAGTAAGTCAGGCAACCCTTCGGGGCCGGTGCTTGGTGACTGAAGACTTCATAAGGTCGACTGATTTAATCGGGACTGAGGACCGGTTCCCAACTGGACCCTGCTGATGCGGCTAACATATGTAGTTACAAAATGTACGTGGCTTTGACTGCAGCAACATGACTGACACCAATATTCAGGTATTCATCATAGTAGCAAATGGCAGTCACTTACATCCAAATGCTTTATGGTTGATTCCTGGATGGAATGTAACGTGGGAATCTGCCGTAGAGCCTACGGCGAGAGTTTCGCTCACTAGATTCTTGTGGATTTGTCTCGCTTGCTTTGGCTCAGTCTTTTGAACCATTTTGGTCTTGGGGGGAGGGTCCAGCCGTCCTGGAGAGAACTGGTGTGTCTGCACAGTCTTGGGACACAACATTGATAGAATAGAGGTGGCACACATGCTGACTGCCGGTCGATAATCTGGGTGATTTGATGAGTGTTGGGGCATTTTCAGTCACTTATAGATGAGAATATGACCACCATAATGGAAAATCACCTTCCCCATTCGACTTTTGGGCCCATAAATCAGGGTAGTGTAGATTTCCCTTATCCGACTGATGATAGCTATAAAATCCTATATTCGTCGGCCGACGGAGGAAACCGGATGAATATATTGAACTTTGACTTCGCTGCACGCTTCAACCGACACTTGGAGGTTTGGTGGCCATGCTAGAGGTAGGTCTAGCTGGTGGTTGTCTAATCTGTCGGGATGTTTATAAGGAGGCGGGATAATGTATTTCCGTGCATATGGTGGCTTACTGCTAAGTCCCTTGATTTCTCTTTCTCCCGAAGTCCCTTCGTGAATCGTCATCTAGTTTCTCTAAACAAATCATAATTTCTGATGGTATATACTTGAATTTTGCGAGCCATTGAACAGCTCGGCTTTTTATATATGTCAAACACAATTAGTTCTCAGGGAAATGAGCATCCGCCGCATCCACGCCCGCATTCCACCGGTATTTGGAAGCAGGGTGGTCCGCGTGAGGTCCCGATTGGCCTGGCTGCGCATACAGGTTCTCACGGTAAGTTCCCTTGGGCGCGGCATAGTCGTCCCAGAAAAGACCGCGCTTGCGCAGCTCGGGGATCAGAAGATCGATGATATCCTTAAAAGAGCCAGGCTTGATTGCGTATGCCTGTGTGCAAGTGATGTTAGCCGTGTGATCAATCGGTATACATCGAACCGGTTTGTCAGAAATATCACTTACCAGGTTAAATCCATCCACATCGGCTTCTTCTACCCACCGCTCCATGGCATCGGCAACTTGGGCGGCTGTACCAACAGGCGTAGAGCCCAGGCCTCCGACGGTGATGTGCTGGCCAACCGTGGTCTTGGTCCATTTTTCCACTTCGGGAGTAGCCTTCGACCAACCCTCGACAGCGGAACTGTTCAGAAATATTGATCAGTCTTTGCGCAAAATTCAAAATACAAGCACAATCACATACCGGATAGCATTACTCTCAACATGTCGCAATTCCTGGTCCTCCTCATATGTATCCAAATCGATTCCGGTCCAGCCACCGAATAGTGCAAGAGCACCATCAATAGATCCAAGACTGCGGAAATACTTAAACTTCTCCACGGCCTCCTCCTCTGTCTTACCCAGAATCGGGCACAGAAGTGCGAGGAACTTGATACTCTGCGGGTCACGTCCGTACTCGCTCTGAGCAAGCTCCCGAATCTCCTTCACGTTCTTCGCTACCACGGCAGGGCTGTGGCCGGCCACGAAAATGGCTTCTGCGTGTTGTGCTGCGAAGGTCTTACCGGCCTTGGAGGTACCGGCTTGCAGGATGACGGGTGTGCGCTGGGGGCTGGGCTGGCAGAGGTGAGGTCCTGGTACATTGAAGTATTTGCCAACGTGGTTGATTTGGCGCACGCCGGCGGGGTCGGTGTAGATGCCGCGCTCGCGGTCACGGATCACGGCATCTTGGCGCCAGGAAGATTCCCAGAGCTTGTAGGTCACCTTGATATATTCTTCGGCCAGGAGGTAGCGGTCATCGTGCTGCAAAGTGGTTAGGAGGAGTTGAGGGATGGGGAATGTGAGGTCTTACATGCGGTTGCTCGGCTTGGCCCATGTTGCGGGCGGCGGAATCGAGATATCCTGTTACGACCTGCGGATTGGGTCAGTATGTCTGGTCGAGTGGTGATATTTTGAGTTTGCTGCGTCACTCACGTTCCATCCCAGTCTATTTGGATACCTTGAATTAGCGATATGATCTTCGAGCGGGTACTGGGTTCACCTACCGTCCTTTGGTAAGATGATCGACTGTGGAGAGGCGTCTGGCCAAGTGATATGGTTGTTCATAAGTTGTTGTGACTGTGACTCCGAATCCGATGTTCTTCGTGGCTGCAGCCATCGCAGGAACAACAGCCAATGGCTCGTTCACTGGCCACTGTGCGCCAGAGATGATGGCTGGGTCGAGGTTTCGGGGTCCTTTGTAAACATCGTATCCTCCTGTAGTGAGGGGTTAGAATTCCAATTTGTGGAACTGCTTCATTGCACTTCTCACTTACCCAGGACATCTGCAATGAAAATACCATGGAACTTGGCGGACTCGAGGAGTTGTGCTAGCTCTACCCAATGGTCGACATCATTGAAGCGATGCGACTCGTCTTCAGGGTGGCGCCAGAGTCCAGGCGACTGGTGGCCACTGCCTGTAGAAATTGTTGGAAATTAGATTCTCACTGGCGTTGGTCTCATTCAGGTTCTACGTACACATCTCCACGAAGGCATTGAGGATGAGCGACTTGCGCGGCTTGGAGTCTGATTGAGTAGCCATTTTCTAATTGCAAAGAGAAACAGATCGATATATTCAGACTGGAGAGACATGAGTGTTACTTATGTCCCCGCGTGCGTCATTTGGCGTGGATATAGCATCGTAGTGGGCCCCGATGGCGTGCGGGATGGCCCTGGGCACGAATTGTCTTTCGCCGGGCGTTGATTGGCTGCGCTCTTTACGCTTAAAAGATGTGGGATTCCGATCTGCTCTCGCCCGAGAGAGAGCCTTATACTTGCTCCAAGTACGGAGTCGCGGCTCCCCTTTGCTCCGGCCCGTCGCCCCGGCTCACCGGCTATCATTGGCCTGGGAACAGTGTCGTCAATTTGCTCAGACAATGATACTATTGGCAACCCTAATAATGGGTGTTTTGGTGGTCTGGGCTCTATTTTGAGACTATCTGGTCCTACAATACTCAAATTGCAGGCCATTTTGCCTCACCTGCCATCCACTCTAGAGTACACGGGTATACAACATGGGATCCTGTTTATACATCGTACAATTAAGTCAAAATTAGAGAGAGACCAACCCCTGTCGATTCGCAATTCTGCAGGGGAAAAGTAGATCAACGTTCGATCCTGCTGAGAACCTAAACCCTTCGCGTCAGTTCCACGAGCACCTCATCGCCAGCTCAAATCAAGCCATTGTGGACCCTATCCCAGGCCTCGACAATGTAAGAAGAGTCCTTGTGCCAGGTACTTTGGAAACTAGCTGGCCGTCTTATTCTTTTTTATTGCAAATACCTTTACCTTTTAATACTATTTGGGCACATATTTTCCTTCTCCTGCAAATACTTCCTTTGAGCTGTGGGCTCGGTGGCACACATAATGTCCAACTTGTATGCCCGCGATGGCCCTTCGACGGTCCAACCGCCTCTATCCCAGGCCGTTGGATATGTCGTAGTGGTGGTCATCGGTGTGATTATAGCCCTAGGTAAGTCTCCCAAGGTCTACGATGAACGTCACTAATATTGAGCAGTGATGATGGTGATCACCAAGGTACTGAAGAAAACGACCGGAGAGGACAACGAAAAGACTGAAATGTATGTATAGCATTCCTTGACACTCTCCTCATTCCGGCCAATACTAACCTCGCCAGGTTCATGACGGCAAACCGCACTATCCGCACCGGCTTAACTGCATCAGCCGTGATATCCGTCCGTCTCTCGCTCCCTGTTTCCCTTGAACTTGTACTAAATGCCTTTTAGTCTTGGCTGTGGTCAACCGCCTTGCTCGGCTCCGCATTTGTCGGCTATGACTATGGCGTGGCTGGTCCTTTCTGGTTTGCAGCGGGCTGCAGTCCAATGATTGTGTTCTTCGCTCTGTTGGGAATCTCTTGCAAGCGCAAGATCCCCGAAGCACATACTTCGCTCGAGGTTGTTCGTATCCGATACGGTAAGTTGACTTGATTCTTGTCTCTCTTGAAACTTTCATTGATAATGTTTTGATGATATAGGACATGTGGCACATATCGTGTTCATGATTCTGTGCCTGGTGAACAATATCTTCGCATGCGCCAATATGCTCCTTGGTGCCGCCGCGGTCATTACTGCTGTGTAAGTCCCCCTCGATCTCAAAATCATCCTTGGCTAATAATCGCAGCACCGGGATGCACATTATCGCTGCCACATTTTTGTTGCCGGTCGGAGTTACAGTTTATACATTCGTTGGTGGCATCAAAGCAACGTGAGTATCCCTCTCTACGCTACAGGAAACATCCACTGACTGCCGTCTAGCTTTCTCACCGATTACTTCCACACGGCTATCATTATGATCATTGCATGCTATTTCTCCGTCAAAGCGTTTTCAAACCCCCAAATTGGGTCTGTCGGTGATCTGTTCGAACTTCTCCAGGCAGCGGCGCAACAACACCCAGTCTCGGGCAACCAGGATGGGACCTATTTGACAATGAAATCAAAGGGTGTAAGATCAATCCGAATCACTGTCGAGTCCATCCGCTAACGATATTCCAGGCAATGCTTTTCGGAATCCTCCACACGCTTGGAAACTTCGGTCTGGTCATTGTAAGCAAAATACATACCCTATCGGATCCCGTTCTAACACCCCCCAGATGGACACGAGCTACTTCATCAAAGCCTTCTCTGCCTCTCCCGCTGCAGTGGTCCCCGGATACACAATCGGCGGCATTGCCTACTTCGCCATCCCATGGGGTCTGGGAACAGTCATGAGCTCCGTCGCCTTGGGCCTCGAGAATCAACCCAATTTCCCCACATTCCCAAGAGTAAGACTTGTCAAACTAATTCCCTCCTATAAATACATCTAACACCTCGTTTCAGCGAATGACCACAACAGAAGTGAGCAACGGCCTCGTCCTCCCATACGCAGCCATCACCATCGCCGGCAAAGGCGGCGCAGCAGCAGTCCTTCTCATAACATTCATGGCATGCACATCCACGCTCTCCGCACAGGTCATCGCCGTCAGCTCGATTCTCAGTTTCGACGTCTACCGCGAGTACTTCAAGAAGAAGGCTACGGACCGCGATCTGATCCGCGCTAGTCACTTCGGCGTTATTTTCTTCGCCGCGTTCTCGGCAGGCTTCAGTACAATGCTTCATTATGTTGGAATTAATCTGGGTTGGACGCTTTATATGCTGGGTATGTTCATCTGAATCCCTCTGCCGCTGTTCTCAAACTAACATTACCTCTTTCGCAGGCGTGGTCACCTGTCCCGGCATCTTCCCGATGATTTTCACAATCCTCTGGCGCCGCCAGAGTAAGGCCGCTGCAATCTTGTCGCCCATTCTCGGTCTCGCGACAGGAATGGCTGTCTGGCTGGGTACCGCTTCGCGGTTCAGTGGTGAAGTCTCCGTCGCTTCGACGGGGCAAGTCCTCCCCTGTCTCTATGGAACAGTTGCCTCCTGCTTGTCGCCAATCGTATACTCGGTTTTGATTACGCTTGTCCGGCCGCAGAATTACGACTGGGATGATTTCAAGAAGGAGAAACTATCTCTTGAAAGATTGCATAGTGAGCCGAGCACTCCTCTTCCCCACGAAGCCCGTGGTGGCGGCGATGATGGCATTGAGGATGGAGGTTCAAGTGCTGGGCTGGAACAACGAGAGTTGAAGCGCTGGAGTCGAATCGCAGCTGCTTGGGCTGTGGCGACGTTTTTGGGTCATTGGGTTCTTTGGCCGTTGCCGATGTATGGATCTGGTTATATCTTTGGGAAAAGGGTACGTTCTGCCGCTTATTGGAAATTCCTTGAATGAGGTTCTAACCGACTGTTTAGTTCTTTATCGCTTGGGTTGTTGTCTCTATCATCTGGCTCTGGCTTAGTATGCTGGTTGCGATCTTCTACCCGATCATCGACGGTGGGATTGAGCAGATGAGGGATGTATATCGCGGCCTGAGACGCCCGCAGATTATCACCGAGGCTGCGCAGAGCAATGATGAGAAAGGAGTTTCCAGTGGCTCGCCATCTGCTGGGTCTATCAGCGATGCTACACGCATTGGCGAATTCCAAGAAGGCAAAAGTGGGAAATTTGAACAATAAAAAGCCCGAGAAAAAGTTCGTTTAGATATATAGATGGATTTGGATTTTATTGGATTTAATGGCTCCATACTTTCTTTTGAATCTGCCGTTTCACGTCCCCGGCTAATGGATTATATGTGGGGGACTAGTACACCCACCCCCCTTTTATGTAGGACCACGCCCCTTCCCTCTGCCTGGTTTTCTAGATGTCAACTGATGCGGGTTCCAGCTCGGGTAGACTCCAAATTCTCTCGGGTAGACTCAAAAAAAAATATTATGTCACCACCTAGTTTGGAGTCTACTACAGATACTATATCTTAGGGGGACTCCAAACTAGGTCATTATATTAGCCATTTTAAATCAATCATATAGTATGAAACTCCTCTTGGCTTAAACCTGACTATATTAAACTATACCTACTATCTATATAATTCTCTATCACTATAAAAAAACCTTATATTTACTACTATATTTAAATATATACCTACTAGATAGATAATTTAAATAATTTAATATATATTCCCCTACTACTATAAATTAAATTTAAGTCGAAATATCTATTATATAGCTTTAGAATATATACTAAATATAATATATATTTACTTTTACCTAATATAGAATACTAATGCTCCTTCCTTAATAATATTAGCTAAAATTTTATTTATTTATATTTTCTATATTAATATCTTCTTCTTCTTCTATTATTTCCTATTATATCTATTTTTTTTTTATATATATACTTAATATATAATTATTATATCTCTATTAATTAATCTTAGATTAGGACTAACTCGATAGGACTTTAATAACCTAGAAGTTCTTTATACCCTAAATCTATACCTTATAACTAACTAGGCCTATAGTATATAAAAGTCTATATTCTAATTTTAATATATATTATATATACTTAACTTATATAGGCCCTATATAAGATCCTAATCTTAGATAGAGGCCCTATATCTAATATAGAGCTATAGTAACGGGTAATAAGTGATATAATATTAAAGCGGGTAATATAGTTACTAATATACTCTCTAATACTATATATATTCTTAATAAAGAGAATATTAGTATCTATAATATCGCTATTAATAAATAATAGATATATAAGATAATCCTCCTAAAGGGTCCTACGCTATACTATTACCTTTAATAAGAATATCCTAGGGTTAGTATATATCTATATAAGATATATACTTTATATATATTAATAAACTTTTTATTATAGTTATTACGTCTATTTACTATTAGAAGATAACGCTAGAAATTACTATTAGAGAGAATATAATTAAGCGATAGATCCTAATAAAAGGATAGTAATAAGCTAGGTATATATATAAGCCTAGCTATAGACTAATAGATAGGAAAGTAGGCTATTAGTATAATACTCTTAAGCGGATCGCGTAAATAAATATAACTTTAGATATATTAATTATATACTAATCTTATATAGGAGCTAAGATCTAGACTTTACTATTAAGTATAGTACCCGCTTTTATTACTATATATAGCCTAATACCCCTAAATCTAACTATCGTAGCTATTAAGTAAGTTAATAACCCTAATATAAGTATAATATATACTAAATATATATAGTATAGCCCTAAACCCCCTATAAATCCTATTCCCTTCTATAGATTTAGCGCGGTCGTCCGAACTACCGATAAAGTTAAAAAGGCCCCTAAAGTTAGAGAGGAGGAATATAAAGAATATAAAGAGTATAAAAGATAGAAGGAAGATAAAGAAGATAAAGAATATAAGGAAGAGTCTAAGGGAGAGGATAAGGAGTCTAAGCCTAAGTCTAATAGTAAGAACGACTTAGCCTAATCGATATATATATTACTATAGCCTTTACTTTAAGTCTTAAATATGATTTTAATATACTTAATATATAATAAAAAACACTAAAATCGTTAAAAAAATTAAAATATATCTAATATTTAATAGATTTAAATCTTATAGCCCTAATATATATACTTAATATATAATAAAAAACGCCTAAAATACTAGAAAAAATCGAAATATATCTAATATCTAATATATTTAAACCTTATAGACCTAATAAATATAGTTTATATATATAATATACCGTAAATATATAGATTAAAGGTCTTTTATATATAAAGTAATAATAATACTCTTTATTATATAGGTGATAATAATACCCTTTTATATATAAAGGAATAATAATACTCTTTTATATATAAAGTAATAGTAATACCCTTTTTTATATAGGTAATAATAATACCCTTTTATATATAAAGTAATAATAATACCTTTTTATATATAAAGTAAGAAGTATTAAGTATAACCCTAACTATAACTATATAAAAGATCTATCCTATCCCTATTAGATACTATTAAATACTATAGTTTAAATAACTATTCTATCTTACTATTATAACTATCTTATAATTATTATTAGAAAAATAGCTAATAACCCCTACGTATATAAACTAACCTAAGGTTTATTTAATAACCCTTAAGTCGCTATAGCGATAAACTCTTACCTAATATTTAGATATACTTATAGTAGGTTTATTCTATATTTAATATACTTTAAATATATACTAACTATATATAGGACTAATCTCTAATAATAATCTAGGCTAGAAGCTAGTAGCGTATTATACTATAATAGCTACTAGTGTCCTAAGATATAATATTAAAGTAGTAGATATCTAAGCTACCCCTTTACTAAACTAAGCTATTATACTAAATAAAGAGAATATCGGTATATATAATATTACTATAAATAGGTAGTAGATATATAGGTTAATATTCCTAGATAGCCCGGCTATACGCCGATATTTATATTAAGATTATTCTAGCGTAAGTAAGTTATTCCTTTTATATATATTTAGTATATACTAACCTTTATTAATATAGCTACTATACCTAACCGCTAATAGAAGACTTAGGACTAAATAATTACTATATAAAATATAATTAAGTAATAGGTTCTTACTCGTGGTTAGTAATAGATAAGTTATCTCTATAAGCCTAGCCGCGGCCCTAAAAATAGTTTAATTAGATATTAGTATAACACTTTAGAGCGTATTACGTAAGTTAAGATATAATTTTGGGTGTTAATCCGCGCACCCCAAAAAGTCACGTTTTTTCACCCTATTATATAATCAATTTTTTACATAATTTGCAAGTTCGGGAAAAACAGGGTAAATATCATATAATTATCAACCTCATCTATCAATCTGATATCGATCTCTATAGCAACCTATTATTTACAAGATCTATTTAAACCCTCTCCCCCCCCAGATCTCTCTCTCTCTCTCTCTCCCCCGCACTCTAGATCTTGATCTCTCTCTCTGTACCCCACATCTCTGATTTCTATCATTTTACCAATCATTCTCATCAAAATGACTGATATCAACCCCACTACCAGCCCCATTACTGAGTCTACCAGTGAGCTTATTCCTAGATCTACCCTAGATCTCTCTTAGTTTGATCTCACTTTGGTATCAATTTATACTAATTGGGTAATAAATAGTGCAACTACTCCCCCCCCCGGAAGCGGTATACGATACCCGCGAGGAGCTAGTCGAAATAGTATAAAAACATATAATTTCTTAGGGTTATTATACTACTATAAAACGTAGTACTACCGGTAGAAATCTGACTATCTAATATATTAAATTAGGCACCCCAAAATAGTCTATAAAGCCCCTAATCGGGCCAAAACCTCGCTATACTAGCTCAAAACGGTAAGACTACCCTTTTAGGCTTTATAGAAATGCCTAAAATAGCAAATAGTACCTCTAAATCCGGAATCTAGATTATAATTATACCGCTAATAATCTAATAGGCTATTATTAATCTCGGAAGTTTACCTAAGATTAGATTGATAAGATCAAAGAGCTATCTAATATAGCTATACCCCCGTAAAAGATTATCTAAATAATCTAGTCTCCTACCTCCTAGCTAATTAAGGGGCGCGATATTTATAATTAGATCTCTCGATTTATACGCTAAGAGAGGGGTCTTCGATTAGAAACTAAGTTTTTATTTAATTAACTTAATAAAAAAGGGTATAAGTATAAATATAAACTCTTATCTAATAATAAGATAGAGTTTCTTATACTAACCCACTCTAATATAATCGAACTAGCTAATAAATATAATAGGGTTTTTATACTAGATTATATATATAAGATAAATAAATACTAAATGCCTCTTTTAAAGGTAGTTAGTATTATACTAACTAATTAGAGCTTCCTATTTACTACCTATTTTATACGTTATAAGTAAATAGAGGGCTATTATTAGGCTATAGAGGTATTATTCTAAGAATAGGTAAGCTTACTACTAAATATAGTGCTTATTACTAATCGAGATCTTACTTTTTTAGGTACTATCGACTCTCTATTTCCTAATTTACCCTATTTACTCTATATTTAGTATATTAATAAGGCTATATTAGTAAGAGCTAAAATCCTTATTACTACTATAGCTAATCTACACTTAAATAATCTAAAAAACGCCTAATTTTAGGACTTTATATAATAATAGCGTGATTTATACTAATCTTATATATCTAATAAGTATGATTTAAGGTTAAATAACCTTAAATTATAGTTTAAATTATATCCCTCCTTAATTTCCTATCTTTATAAAACTTAGCTAATATATAAATAGAAATTTATCCGATATTTAATTATTAATATTACCTATTTTAGTAATTTAGTATTATTACGGTCCGAAGGGATATATTTATAGCTAAAAAAGTATATAAATAGTCTAAATAGGGATCTTTTAATAGTTTTTATAGTAATTAATACTATTATTAATAAATAGTATATAGAACTCCGGATCTAGATAGGATCTAGTTAGATCTTAACCCCTAAAATAGTATATATTACCCTATATAGAAGTATTCGATTATATATAGATATATATATAATCTAATTAATCTATAAATAGCGGGAGTTTGCACTATAAAACGCCCTAATTAGGTAGTATATAGGGTATTTTACCCGCTTAATAGGGCTTCCCTATAAGTATCGATTATTTAATCTTATTAGATTAAACCAGCTAATCCTATTAAGCGAAATCGACCTATTTTAGTATCTTATACCTATTTCTAGCACCTAAACAGTGCTAATCTTACCCCCTAATATACCGGAGAAGACAAAAAGGGTCGGAAATAGTCTAATAGGGAAGGAGGAGGGTCTAAAGAAGAAGCGGAAGGCCCTAAGTAGGTACTCACAGTGCGGGGAGGGCGATCATACGTTTAGGGGTTACCCAATACGGAAATTATAAGGTTATTTTTGTTATTTAGCATCATATATAGTATTAGATGGATAGGTGAGGTTGATAATCATATGATATTTGCCCTATTTTTCCCGAACTTACAAATTATGTAAAAAATTGATTATATAATGGGGTGAAAAAACGTGACTTTTTGGGGTGCGCGGATCAACACCCTATAATTTCTATTAGTAAGGATATATACTAACTATATAAATAGTACGACTGATACTTAATTTACGGCTCGATTTAGTTAACGTTTCTATCGGTTTCTAACACTATCTACCCTAGGATCTAGTTAACGCTAACGTAGAGTAAGTATATAACCCTCCTATATTTATTTAATATTTACTAATAATCTATATAGCGTAGGGCGGATATCCCCTTAGTCCCTTTTCCTAGGTTTAGTGCTATAACTACCGCTTTTATAGTACTCCCTATATTAGTACCCTTTATACTAATACCCCCTATACTAGTACCCTCTATATTAGTACCTCCTATACTAGTACTAGCTACCCCTATACCTATCCCTACGCCTAAGATAGCTACTATACCTACTATACCTATTACGCCTACCCTAGGACCTAGAGGTAAAAAGAGAGGTAAAGAAGAAGAAGAGGAAGAGGAGGAGGAGGAGGAGGGAGAAGAGGAGGGAGAAGAGGAGGAGGAAGAGGAAGAGAAGGAGGAAGAGGAGGAGGAAGGAAGACCGAAAAAAAGGGTAAAGAATTAGTAGATTTTAAACTATGTACTTATATTATTTAATATCTACTTAGTATATACTAAGTACATATAGAGTATAAGGTTAAAATAAGATTAAAATAAGTATTATATTTTAATATATAGAGGAAATTTCTAAATTAGCTATCCTTATCTAGCTATAGACGTAGCCTATCTCTCTCCTCTTATATAGCTTATATTCTAGTACGCCTTCTTAGCTCTTTTAGTTCCTTTACTAGCTCTATCTCTTTAGTCTCTTCGATACTAGGTATTAGTATATAAGGAAACACTTATAGAGTTAGCGTTTAAGATTCCTAAGGAGATAGAGCTTAAGTACTAGACTAAGCTATATATAGCGTAGTATACTTACTTTCTTTAGTTAAATAGACCGAAGAACCCTAAGATACTATAGTATAGTTTAGTAGCTATATTAGAGGATTAGGTTAATTATATCTATTTATAGGATTAAATATATATTATAGCTTTATAATACGTTTAGCTATAGCGTTATAATCTTATTTATTTAGATTATAGTTAGTATAAGTTTAATATAAACTAGGTATATAATAAACTAATCTTTTTTTTAGACGCTTTTTATAATCTTTATAATATAATTCTAATTCCTCTATAATATTAGAAGACCTTTAATAGTTTTTATATATATATAGTCCTTAATATTTAACGTATATTTTTTTAACCTATTTAGATATATTAGACTTATATTAAATATATATAAAAGAAAATTTACCTAAGAATTATAGTTAATAAGACCTACTTTCGACCTATTACTTTATTCTCTTAGTAATAGCTACTTTCACTAATTCTAGTATAATATCTAGTGTTTATCTACTAATAAATAGGAATTTTCGACGCTTCTAGAGTAATACCTATAAAAATCTAGTTAGCTAGTTTATTCTTAAACTAAGTCTTAGTCTCTAGCTACTCCGCTATAATATTATCTATAATCTTAAGGACTTCTTATTTAGATCTTACCTTATAGATAAGCTTAATTATAGGGATTATTAGATATCTAGAGTATACCTTATTAAATATATATTAGATATATATATAGTATATAATTAATATATATTAAAGATACTTTAACTATATTAGATAAAGATTAAGACTTATAAAATACTCGCTAAAGCTTTATTGAGAACTATGCCTAAGGCAGGATTCTCTTATCCGTAGGATTAGTAACGCTACGCCTCTTTTATCTTTTCTACCGAAAAAGGTCACCTTTAGGGGCCAAATTAAGGACTCCGATCCTCGGTATATAAAGGGGTATAAATAGCAGGAAAAGGCAGATATTATCTAGATCTTTAGATAATTTAATACTTCTATAAGAGATCCTATTCCTAGTATTATTTGAACCTATTATTAAACCCTATATACTATATTATACCTCTATATCTTTAATAGGTTATAAGCCCGGCTATCTCTAATAGCCGGAATACCTAAATTGCGTAGTATAGTCTATTTACTATATTTACTAGCAAATATTTGCTTACCTCTATATACCTTTTCATCTGATCTTTAGCTAGACCTATATATATAGGTCCTTACCCCTAGGATCTCTCTCTCCTTCTTATATATATCTTACCTCTTATTTTATACCTTACCTTTTATACCTATATCTCTCGATCTCTCGTAGATCTACCTATTTTTTTATTAATTTTATTATAACCCCTATTACCTAACGGTCCTAGCGAGATAGGGGGGTATCTAGTGTACCTAGTGTACCCTATATACCCTACGAACCCTCCGAATCCGACGCTAACTAACTAGACGAATTAGGGTCCGATAATAAATATAGTAGCGCCTTAGGCGAGGGTAGCGATAACGAAGGAGGAAATAATAGTCCTATAGCTCCCGCTAGCACTAGTAATATAGACCCTAGCTAGGGTCTATAACGTCTAAACCCCGCGGATTAACTAGCTAGAGAACTCGAGTCGACTAAGTATCTCTATACCTAGTAGCTCTAAGGATTAAATAGGTAGCTCGTAGTAGATAGACCCCCCGCTAAAGTCTCCGAGTCTATCGAGACTAATATATAAGTCCTATTAATATAGATTGATAACCTAAACCGATTTAATCGAGATAGCTCTACGTTCTCGCTACGTAACCGCTACGCTACCCTAAAGAATAATACCCGAGAAGAGGAAGAAAACGCCCTTCGATACCTTAATTTCATTAAGGACCTCGGAAAAACATTTAAAAGAAAAGAAAAATATAAATGACTAAAACTTATAGGATTAAATATATTATAACCCTCTGCTAGGAGAGTGCCTTATAGGCTAGATCCCGCCTAGTCCTATGACCTAGAACCCGTGACCTAGTAGGGGTAGTATGACCCCCCGCTAGAGACTACACTAGGAAGACTAAGTCCTACCGGGTTAGGTGACCTAGTCCTATAACCCGCTAAAGGTCATCTATATAGAGACTACTAAGGGAACTTAGCTCTTTAGCGATTAGTTTATAAATATACTAGCACCTTACTATTCCTTTACTCTAGTTCTATATTACCTACTAGGACCCGCTAGTACGCCGGTCCTAATATTCTAATCGCTAAATCTTAATTAAACTAGACCGTTAGAATACGTAATATCGACGACTTAACGTACGAGCGACTGCCTAAAGGGAGCCTTAGGCCTAATCGCGGAAATAAACGACGTCCCGGGACCCTTTTAACCTCTACTAGAAGAAGTAGAGATATAGGGAGTTAACGATAACCCTTGGGGAGGAAACCCGCTAGATCCGGCGACTCTAACTAAGGTAGACGAGAAGACGGAACTCTAAGAGTTAGAGACCTTTAAAAGATATCTAGCTCTAGTAAAGGAGAAAAGTAAGATCCGCGCGGACCTATAGGATAAAGAAGAAAATATAGTAATCCTATAGGTAAAAATATAAAGATCTAGGATCTATTAGGGTTTACTAGATAGTATTATTAGCTAAACTATTTATTAGCTATCTAATACTACCTATATAAACTCGATTATATTATAAAGAAATACTAAAGGCTATTTATTTTATTAAAAGGAAATAAGGGAACTATATATATCCTATAATATAATAATATATAGAGCTAAAAGTTTAAGTAAATATAATCTCTTTAAATTAAACTAGGAAGTCTTCTAGAATAGATACTCTAACTAATTCGTTAATAATATATATAAAATAGATTAAGTAACTAAGTTCTTAGCGCTAAAGGTTAATATAATATAGATAGAATACTATAGAAATAATCTAGATATAATATTTACTTAGTTAGTCTTTAAAATATAGGCGCTCGTTTAGATTACTAACTCTATTAAGATATAGTAAGAAACTAAATATAACTAGTAGTAAATAATATAAGCTAAATATTAAGATATATATTAATATATCTTAAAGTTTATTAGACTCTATAACTATCTAAAAGATTCGCTAACTAGATAGATAAGAATTAACTATTTAAAAATAGGTATTATTAAAGAGATATAAGATAAAATAAGGAGATTTATAGCCTTTACTATAGATTAATAAAATAACTAGATAGCCTTCTATAACTAAATTAAGAAAGTAATACTAGATAGGATATTATATCTTAAAAAAGTAAAGAAGATAATACTAAAAAATACTATAGACTTATAAAGATCTAATAGAAGACCTTTTAAAGGAAATAGTACCTTTTTTATATAGTAAGCTATAACTACTATAGAAGATAGAAAAGCTACTATAGGGTCTAAATAAGACTAAAGCGGAGATAGTAAATTCTATAACTTCTATAGTAAACTAGACTACTATATAAAGGACTACTATAAGAAAGCTATAGTAAATATTATAGCTATAGAAAAATTAAAAAAATAGATAACCCTATATTATAGACTCTCGTAGTATTAGGGATAGTTCTCTTTAGAGAATATAAGAGAGTATACTAAGTACTTATTTATAATATACTAATATTAGATATTAAGATTAGAACCCTAATAAGGGTAGCTAAGACGCTAATAGATAGTAGTATAATCTAGAGTTTTATAAACTAAAAATAGATAAAAAAGAATCTAAAAGAGATATATATAATAAGTATCTACCTAATAGAAGCTATAGATAGATATAAAATCCCTTTATATAGAAGCTAAGAAATATAGCTTAGCTTAATAGACCGGAATAGAATCTATAAAGTTATTAAGATAATCTATAAAGCTATAGATATAATAATCTATAATATAATCCTAGGAATAGATTAGCTTAGATTAGTAAATCTAGATATTAACTAAATAACTAGTAAATAAATATATAGAAATATAATCCTACTAAAAGTTAAAACCCTTTTATTAGAAGACTTTAAAAAAGAAGTAAGACTATAAAGTATATTTAGAGAACTACGTTTAGAAATTAATAAGGTTATTAAGGAGTTTATAATAATATTAGAAGTAATATAAAGTTTAGATAGGACCCCCTATCTAGTATAATCTTTAACTAAACTCCTATTAGAATACTAAGATCTAGCTATTATAATAAGTAAAAAAAGTACTATAGCCCTCCTAACTTATATAAAGTATAATTATATAATTAAGCTAATACTAGGTAAAATACCCCTTTAGAGGCTAATATATATACTATCCGCTAAGAAGTTAGAAGTCCTCTACTAGTATATTAAGAAGAACCTTAAAAAAGGCTAGATCTAATAATTAAAAAGTTAATTAGGTATACCTATTCTCTTTATACCGAAGAAAGATAGTAAGCTTAGACTCTATATAGACTATAGAAGGTTAAACGCGATTACTATTAAGAACCGCTACTCTCTACTACTAATTAATAAGTCCCTAATAAGATTATTAGGAGCTTAGATTTATACTAAACTAGATCTATAAAATACCTATTATAGGATCTATATAAAATAAGGAGATAAGTAAAAGATAGTATTTAGATATTATTATAGATATTTTAAATATATAGTAATACTATTTAGACTCACTAATACTCCTACTACTTTCTAGATATATATTAATAGAGCCTTAATAAAACTTA